AATATATATAAATATATATATATATATATATATTTCAAATAGTTTTTGAGCATTAATAGTGGTAATGTTAATTAATAGTTTAGATAGTCTTCCAAAAGTAAACGCATACTTTGTCGAGGACGTGAGGATCCTCTCAAAATACATCTGCTCATTTTATGCCTGAATTACAAAGGAATGCCTGTACTTAATAATTTGCTTTATCTGTGCCAAAATAATCAATGCTAGAATCCTTGTTTATATTTTGTCTATCTAGCAATGGATTAAAAAATTGAATGTCCTAAAAATTAAAATACACAAAATTAAAATTATGCTTTAAATTAGCCCTATGTATCTCACTTTGTTCCAATGAGCGTATCATGCTACTCCCTATTTTAATATTCTAATAAAGAGGGCTAAATTAAATATTATTTTGTAATTTTTAACGGCTTAAAATACTCTCCAATACTTTCTGATGAAAATACTTTAATAATGACATAAATAAATGATTATTTAAGTGTATCACACGCATTTAAAGTTTAAAATAAAGTTTTTATTGCAAAAAGAGTATAGTATACGTTGATCAAATATCTCGGAAAAATACTAATCGAGTAAAAAATCTAAAAAGACCTTTCATTTTTGTAATTTTTACCTTTTATTTTTTCGATCTAAAAGGCATTTCTTCAGTTATATCCATTTTAAACAATTTGTACCCTATTTAAATTTTTCGATTACGGCGCCACCTACGGAGCAAGATGCTAACAACTGTAGATCAAAGTGAGGTGCTTTTTCCTGGAGAATCTAATTCAACAATAAAAAATGGGGGACCTATATAAAATTTTTATGTCGCCGCCACCCTATTTCCCGGAATGAGGTCTGGGAACCGATTCTGGTATCATTTAATGAAACTTTTGAAAACAGTTCACATGTGAACATTTAAATTTTTGATACGATGCCTCACGAGATACTTTAACGTTTCCATACTATTTGAACACCATGTATATTAAATTGCCGCAGGTAACAACTTTTCATAAGCTATATTTGAATTAGAAAGCTATTTATATATCTTGTGTGTGTGGAAATATATCTTTTATGCGTGGAAATCACGTTTGTTATCTATTCATAAAGTTACAGGAAGGCAAATATTTACATAATCTGATTTTTTTTCGTTGACCCCGAAGACTGAAGTAACAAATTCTTGGGGTCAATAACAGAGTGAATTTAATTAGATACATAATACATTAGAATCTCAGATGTTTTTATGTGTACATATTTCATTTAGATTCTGTATGAATCCAATTGCAACTTACAAAGAGAGAAACGCGTTATTAATCGTTCCCCATTATCTACACCTCTTATTTTTTGAAAAAAAAAATTTCACATTTAGCCGATTGTTATTCTTATCAGTATTATAAACTAAAATGTTTTTGTTCATTCATGTTCATGTTTTTTATAAAACGCAATTTTATAACTGCATTCTCAATAAAAAATGTTAGTAAGTATTGGAAAATAGGACCTTACTAATTAATTAATTTATCAGCTAAAACATATTATTTTTAATCAAGTAGACGTTCTGATTTTCGCATGATTGAATGATTAAAGAATATGACATTAAACCTTTAAAATTATATTGATATAATCGATTTTCTATTACTTTCTCTCACAATTGTTACATTTTTTCAGCATTTCAATTAATTTTACATTTTTTTGTATATTTTGTTCTAATAGGGTTGTAACTTTTTAAATTCCTCTCCTTTTAACAATGAATAGAAAATACGACATTGGAAACTTTGAACATTGATATATTTAACTTTTACTTAGTTTTGCTGTTTCCTTCCATTATTATTCTTAATCAATTGTGATATAAATATTTTGTTATTGAAAAGTTAATTCAAAAGTTTTAATGAATAATTGCATCAAATCTGCTTTTTTGCATCAAATCTGAAGTTACATTTTCAAATAAAAATTTCGTTCTGTACTACCATGCTTGTATTATTATATAAATAAATGTCATGTATTGATTAAAATCCATTTCATTCTAATTAATATTCCTTTGGTAAAATGACACCAAATTCAAGTGTATTTATTATTTAATGACTTAGATTAATTATTTCCTAAGTAATGGATAGACTTTAAAAAAGAAACTTTAAAAAAATAATTTAAACTTTGTACTAACTTTGTAAAACTTAGTTTAAACTTCTCCGATATTATTTTGGTTGAAAAAACATTGAATATTTATTTTTAAAAATATTGTTTTCGCATTGAACACAGATTCGTAGTGTTAAAGTATTCGAGAATCTTATTGTTCAGATTTGTGAAATCTTAAGACTCGATTTATCTCAAAGAAAATCCGTTACCAAACTTGGTAAACGAGCTTCCTTACGACCTACATTTTCACAAAGTCGCCAAAAGCGGGATAAAAAAAAGCCAAGCTGCCTAAATATTATTATAAACAACCAAGTAATTTTTTTTTTAACACACCCGAAAACGTAGACCGCTGATATACTGTGGGAAGTCTCAGAAGTTAGGTTAAAAAAAAATAATAATAAAAATAAAAAATAAAAAAAAATCTCCTCTCAAGTTATAGACAGGGTAACGGATTTTAGAAATGGTTCGTCTGGCGACAAGAACAGTTCGCTGTTCTGCTGCTTGCCTGCGGTCACACAGCATTCTGGTAAGATATTAATTTATTTTAGAGAAGAGTGGAGTAGAAGAAAAAGAATAACCTTTTAACTGATAATGCTGGTGATGTCAGCTGCTATTTATTGCATAATAAATCTTAGGAACTTTTGAGTTAAGTCAGTATTTTTCTAACTCTGCGCTTGTTGAAATAACGAAAAGTTTAAAAAATAAATAAATAAAGACATGCTCATAGGATAATTAGACTTATTAATTAATTTAAAAAAATAGCTCTACATGCATGATTTTGAGAGATTTATACTTTTGTTATTATATTAAGAACTTCAGCAAAACTCTTTTAATGATTTACATATATAGTAAAAAATGAGTAAATAAATTTTAAATAAACAACGAAAATATTTTTTTTGTATATTCTTTAATATTAAGTATTATTACTATCGTTATTTCAACTTTTTAAAATTGTTCTCAAATTTTAGCTTATTATTTTCAAAATTATAATTGTCATAATAAAACATAAATAAAATAATAGCTTTCCAAAAGTTCATATATTAACTATTCATATATTCACTATTATCATATAATAATTAATATGTATATTAATTAATAGACAAATTAATTAATAACTAATTATTATATAAATTATTACATTAATTAATGACATATTAATCATATAACTAATAAACATATTAATTAATAACTATTTATTATATTATTTATTATATTAATTAATAGACATATTAATGAATTAAAAAATAGCATTACACGTATGATTTTGAGAGATTGATACTTTAATTATTATATTATAAACTTCAACACTAAAACTCTTATTAATGACTAACATATATATCATTAAGGACGGGTAAATAAGTTTTAAATAAACAAAGAAAATATTTTACATGCACATTCTTTAATATTAAATATTATTAACTTTTTACTTCAAATTTTTAATTCTTTTCAAATTTTAAATTATTATTTTTAGAATTATGATTGGCGTAAAAAAACTTAATTAAAACAATAGCTTCTTAACAGTTCAGAAAGACTTCGTTTAAACTTTCGAGCTGTCTCATTGGATTATATATATTGTTATTTTATATATTGGGAGTTATTGCAAGTTAGCGTAAATTAAAATTTTCTAGTATGATTCAAAAAAATAAGTAAGATCATTTGTTTTACTTATGCAAGATGAGAATTTTGATATAGTTTTATTAAACAAATAAATAAACTCCCCTAAATGTTTTCATTACATTAATTAAGAATAAAATTTTAAATCTAGAAGTTTATTGTTACTAAAGAAAATATTTTTCATTTTATTTCAATTTAATGGGCAATTCAATTATTTCATTTTTAATCAATTAAACGGCCAATTTAATTTTACTTCAGTTTCATTTTATTTAAATATATTTATAGATGTATAATCCAGTCATATTTGCTGTGTTTTAAACTGATTTATACCTCAGAAAAAATCTAACACTTTCATCATAATAGCGATTTATCATTATCTACTAAATTTTCTATACTTGCAAAAAATACAGTAATAATAAGGCCGTTTTTTTTATTTAATTTTATTTTATTTTTAATTCTCTTGTCATCGTTCATTCTTCAGGCTTCACTCAATTTTAGTGCTCATAACTGTAATTACACACTACGTATCCTAAAAAACTATAAGACATTTAAATTAAATTTGTAAAAAGAAAAATCATCTCTATACGTGCAACATCTAATTTATTCATAAAAAATTGAGCACAATTAATGCTTTTATAGTTTATTAATGCAAAATTAAAAAAAAGTGACAGAATAAATGTGTTCCGTTTAACATTACTTAATGTTAAATTTTTTTCATGATAATTACGTTTAATGAAAAATAGTTTATTATGTTGTTGTTTCTAATGCCACATGTCAATATGCCACATGTTTGTTTACCAGCAAGCCTGCCTGGTGAAACCAAGCGAGTACAGAGGGTATGTTTCTTGTTTTTCGTTGGCGACATTTATGGCCAAGAATACAACTTCCGCCACACACACGTCACCCCCCCCCCTGTTTAGAAGAAACACCCATTCATACATTCCACAGACTAAATTTGTAATTTTGACTGAATCAGAGGATCATAAATCTCCAATTCACCCCAGAAATATTCATTTGTTATAATAGCTTGGAGGACTTTGTGGCTCAATAAATTTAATGTGCACCAGTCACCATTTACTACACGCCGAGTATTCGACTGACGGGGGTCGAACTCATGACCCATTGGACATGGGCCCAACTCCCGACAAACCAGGCTATCCGACCCATTGTTTATTATTACATTATTATATAATTATTTCCTTCCATGCATTTCGATTGCTAACAGAAAAGCAGAAAACTTTTCTTATATTATTAATTTCTTACATTGTGCATTATTATGGTGAAAAATTAAGCAAAAGTTTTGCTTAAGTTTGAGCCCAATTCAAAAATTAGAGACATTTTTCTGAATTTTCAGCTCTATAGTGAATTAGAAAATTTACGCAATCTAACGAAGCATTATCCTCCAAAATATTGACATATAGTTAAAGATTAGTTTTAAAACTACAAGCATTTTATAGGGATGCATGCTTTTAATGCCAACCGGTGAAAAAAAATTTTTCCATTTTTTCCATCACGAAGATTCATTAATCTCTTTCTGAATGCTACATTTAATGTAACAATTCTGACTCTTTGATTTTTTTTTCTATTTTTTTAATACTAAATTGTCTTCCACTTGGCTAATCTATCTCTATGATAAAGGACAATGTACCGAATCGGTAAAATAATATGGCCACTGAATAACAAGAATTAAAACAAAGAAGCTACGGATTTACGGCCGATGTTTTGAGAAGTGTTTCAGTCAGACTATGGAAGAAATCAAAATTCTGAAAGAAAAAATAACTCTTACTCCTAAATCCTAAAACTACTCCTATATCCTAAAACTACAGCAGGTGAACTATAAAAATTAAGGTTTCTATAGTGATTCAGAACAAAATGGCAAATGTGAAGCTTTTCTTTTATGAAGCCATTCATTTTGAAGAATGTATTGCGGACGAACAGCATCTAAAATTTTAATGCAACGGGTGAAAAACAAAATTTTGTATGGGAATAGCAATAGTAGTTTGTGGAATTTTTTATTCTTTTAGTTTTGGAAAAATCATGCGTTTTTAAATAATAATCGAAATTCCCTCAAAACATTTTTGGAACAAAATAATTATGAAATGAAATACGTACTTTTGTAATTTAAATATGAAATTTAAGTTTGAAGTCAAATGGAGATTTGTTTGATTTAAGATTTTGATCCTCTTGTAGTAGAAATTGTATATTAGCAGAAAGCGCTTTTGAAGTTATGTGACCGCTAGCAGATGCCCAAAAATCAAGTCTTTTATGAATACTTTTCCTTCCAATAAACATTTGGATGCATAATTTTAAATTATCAAGAAAACCTTTTTGAAAAAAGAAAAAAAAAACAAGAATGGTTTTTCCTCTTAATCCTTACAAGTGGTCTATAAAAATGTTAGCGTTCATAGCTAACAAAAAGAATCTGCCTGATTCGGATTTTCCGCATTAATTTCGAAACAAAATTACATATTTTAAAGTTGTTTTAACAATGGTTTGTGATACATGTATACTAACCTCTATATGAAAATTTCTCGTTACGCCATTAGTGAATCAATCAAAAATAGTTTTATAACTCTAGTTTTACCATCTTTTTTTCTTAACAATAAAAAATGATTATGACAGCTTACCCGCTTCTTTTTTACTTATATACAGATATTATGGCTAGCATTTATTACCATGGTGTTTTGGACATCATATATACGCTATAGGAATGATGCCAAGTACCATTACATTAGAGAAATTGCAGGGGTAAGTTGAAAAGTATTTCTTTGAATTTATAAAATATGACACATTAGAAAAAAACTATTTGATTTTTTTATTAAAGTTAAGGTCCTCGCCTACGCATTTGAAGGCAACATTTTGAAATAATTAATTTAGAAATTTTCATTAGAATTTACGTGTATATTATGTATTTAAACATGGTATAAATACAAAATAATGTGCAAAAATGTTTTTTTTTTTTAATTTTTTTAAGGAAATCTGGGGGAAAACTGGTCAAAAAAAGACCTAAAATCGACCATAGCTTTATTGAAATTTATTTATTTTTTAAAATTATTCTTGCTTTGTATACTCAGAACTCAACTTAAGGAATAGAGGACACATTAAACATAATATTAACATTTAGATATTTTACAGAAAATGTCGAAACTTATTAGGCAAAGATGGTTAAAAATTTCTATTAGTTATTTTTATTTTACCTGTGAAATATAAAATAATAGTTTAATAAACTAGTCCTTAGACATATGCATAAAAAACTTTTCTGCGAAATTCCAAGTAATTCAAACTAAAATATCTTGATATATTGCTTTTGAAATAAAGGAAAATAATCAAAAAATTAGTTTTGAGGAAAAGAAAAACAAATATCAGTGTAAAAACCAGAATGAGTGATTTTTTAAATGATTATAACTTCGGTTTGATTTGACGTAGAAATGAAACTCAAATGGTTTTAGAAACAAAAAAGTTCCTAGTTTTATTTAGTATAAAAAACAGAAAAGTAGTTTAGTATAAAAAGCAGTTTTTGTCAAAAAGGTAGTAAAATTAAATGTAATTTTATATTATGGAAAACTATTGAATCATGTTTAAATATATGATTTATTATGAATTATTCTGAATTTATTATGCAATATACAATTTGCTGCATTGTTTCTTTTGTTTGCAGATTGGGTTCTCAATATCACGAGCAATGGCTTGTGTTGTTAATGTTAGTTCTTTTATGGCAATCATACCCATGTGTCGTTTAATTACGTCTTATATACGGAGCATTGGTTCAAAAGTAAGTTAAACTTCATAGGATAAATTGCATCATATTTTAGTATCTAGGAATTTTTAGGCACATAATGTTTTACTATTTCACCTATCGTATTTGAAAAATACTTAATATATTCTTATTTGTGACTTAAACTCACCTATTTCAAAATAGATGAAATAAGAAAAATGAATGAAATTTTAATTAAAGATTTTTACATGCAGTTTAAAAATCTCTAACTTCAAGAAGCTGAAAATAAAACAATGGCATTTACATTCCTGTTTTATCTAAAAAATTTCAAAAAATACTTTTCAAAATATTAAAAAAAGACTTTCATTTTTTAAATTTATCCTTAGCTGTAACAGGTGCAATGCCAACTTACCTTGTGATAAAATATCATAGTTGGAAAAACATTTTTTAAAAAAGCATAAATTCATTTTTAAATGTTTTTTATTGCTAATTCTTAGTCAAGTGGTTCAACAATCCACATCATTAGCATTATTTGGTGCAAATATTATAAGAAAGAAAATGAAAAATAAAAGGCGAAAGAAAAAGAAATGACGGATACTATAATTGGTTGTATTTGTCTTGTTAATTTTATGATGCTGCTTTTATGAGTATTAGATTAATAAAAAAATTTACAGGAAAAGCATACGGGTTAATTCAGCATATCTTAGTAATTGATCATAGTAACAAATTAGTTTTTTACATACAACTTTCTCAATTCTAATTCGCTATTTCGAGATTTATCATAATTGTATTTTTCGTAAATAATGATTAATATGCACTATTTTTCCTAATATTTTTGGTGAACTACATATCCCCCTATTTTCAACCCTGCAACTAGCTATCTAAATACATGACTAACTTTTTTGTTATTCGTTGCCATACCGGTGACTTAACATTATTAAATTTATCAAAACATGATATAGAAGTTCAAATATAGTATCACTTAACTATTTTATTCAATATTTTACATATCGACAGCACAGTATGCTAAACAGTCTCTTTATACAAGCTTTACAGATTGATACATGCATACTATCCTCAATTGAAAAAGCAGTAGGTATGTTGTAGCATTTTTTTTCAAATCTCTTTAAGGATTTATTATATTTCATCTGATAATTTTCTGAATTACAATTTCTGAATAACGGCATGCTAATATGAATGATTTCGCATCTCAATACCGTCGCAAATTAACCCACCTACACTGCGAGCACCGTAATTAGTTCGAAACTTACTTTTTTTTATATATATTTTAAACTCATTAAAAACTCAATAGGTCAAAACTCAAAGTTTATTCATTTTTTTAATTATTAAATTGTTTTTGCCTTGGTGATATATTTTTAATTAGCACTCAAAAGCAATTCTGTTTTATTCTCTTGTAGGTGTCAGCAAATTTTGTCACTAAATGCATTGATAGTAGCAAAAAATTTCACATTATATGTGCCATTACCATCATCATTGCTGGAAGTAAGTTTTTTCTACTTTATTGCATTCTATATATAAATATATATATATNACCGTATATATATATATATATATATATATATATATATATAAATTTCTACTTCGATCCAGAAATTGTAAAGAATATTGGATGATGTTAAAGCTACCGTAAATGTTTAGTAATTATATGAATTACAACACTGTGTAAATTAATAGGAACCAACTGATTCAGTATGTCCTAAATGCAGTATGTATTAAGTGTAGCAAAGAGCTCTTGAAGACATTTTGGCAGTGACTATATAGATGACTATATAGTGGCTGGCTATATAGTGACTATATAGATTAGGTCATCATCTTCTTGTAACTAGTAATTAGCAGCATTGTGGAAGAGTATTATCTATCTGTTTATTTTCAATTTTTTTGACTTACATATCCTTTAACCTAAATGACTCTTCAAAATATTCCACAAATTCTCTATTGAATTAAAAGCCTCGTGATTTTTAATGCTAATCAAGCAACGTTATTTTGGTATTTTAATAGGAAATTATTAACCCTTTTTAAAATATATGAAAAAGCCTGGCACCGTTGAAATGGGCTGTCGAAAATCTACAAGAATAAAATAATCTTATGTCGTAGTAATTTATGAGTACAATATGCTCAAAAAAAATTGAGCATCAAAAGAGAATATTGCAGCGTTGCGCTTTCTATGTGGACAGAGGATTGTGGGTCAAGGATTTGTTTTTCAGCACCCAAACATTCATCAAAATTGTGTAGAAACTGAATTCCATCAGCAACGAAAAAAAACAAGTACTGAAATAAAGGGAGTGGCCCCCTCAATTCCCTGTTCCATGAACTATAATTTTGCCATTTACCTTCCATAATTATGTACAGATGTGTACAGTGCTTAAAAAATAAAAGGGCCATCCTTAATAACTCTTTATCTAATTATCAGATTTTCACGTACCAGGACTCAATCTTGATGTTTAACGGGAGATACCTCAAATATGCTAATTATTTTGTGCAAAAGATATTTTAAGTTACCCAAAAACGCACTTTCTCTGAATAAATGTATATTTTTTTCAACGGATTTGATTTCTTGACCTTCAAATATGTGGGCAGCCGTAATCTGGAAAATATAGTCTCAATAGTTTTACAGGAGCTGTTGAAAATGATAATTATACTTTTTGCATATTTCGCCTTATCTGGAGAATTTTTTAAACGAATTGAAGCATTTTTGAACACAATTATAAAGTTCGTTTAACCAAAGATCATTCCAAACTTATTATTTATAGCTACTTCTGGCTAATTTATTTAATAATATGTAGTCAAAGAAGTTTATGTGTAAGGTACACGAATTTTTACGCCTTTATAAAGAATGTAATTTTATATGGCAAAATACGAAGTTTTAGCGAAATCGGTCGAAAAGTTTCTGAGAAATCATATTGTAATAGGTTACTTTTTTTTTTAAATTTGATTTCTAGGGAAATATTTGTCCGATTTTGTTTAAATTTTGTATTTTGACATGTAAAATTGCATTCTTTGAAATTATTGTAAGCCTTCAAACTTTTTCCACTATTATTAAGTAAAATATTTTTTTGCATGGAATTATCTATAGATAAATGAATTTTATATTTGTCTGAGAAAAAATTTTCAATTCACTCCAAAAATTCTGGAGGTATGACGAAGTACACATAAAGTATAATTAAATATAAAGGATATGAAGTATATCGACAGCTTACATGGCTAAACTGTTGAGACCATAATTTCCAGATTTCGGCTACCTTTATTTTTTGAAAGTCAGGAATCCAAATTCGGTGGGAAAATATGTACGTTTACTTAGAGAAAGTACGTATTGTGTCTTAAAATATCGACTGTGCAATAATTAACTAGCACATTTGAGATAACCCCTGCGAACCATTGAGATTGAGTCCTAATACGTGAAAATTCGATCATTGGAATAAAAGTTATTTAGTCTTTTTTGTTTCTTTTCTTTTACTGAATTAATCATACTTGACAACTGAATTAATCATAAACTGAATTAATCATACTTGACAACGTTGACTTCAAAATATATCCTGAGAAAAAAAAATTCTTTCAGACGATGTTATACAGTTTGTTCAACTTACTCAGGTCTAAACAAACTGACTTGTCCCAATTAATTTGCATTGTATAGTAAGATTTTTTTTTTCTCGTGTCAGATCAAAACCAAACTTTCATTTTTAAAAATAATCTGTCAAAACCGAATAAAATCGTATAATTATCTTTCAATTACACTCTTAAAGAAATATTTCAACTTAAAAAATCAAATATTCTTCGAATAATATTTAGCACTGATATAGACAGGTCAACAACAATATTTTTATGGGGAAAAAATTATATTTCACTATATCAAACATAATTATTATTACATTGAGACATCTATCAAATTATTCTATAACACTGGGGAACAAATTTTTAGTTGCATTTATGCTAATGATTGATATTGCTTATTTTTTCCCGTGTAGTAAATGGTGACTGGTGAGCGTTAAATCTGTCGGGTCACAAAGTTCTCTAAGATCCCATAACAAATAAATACCTCTGAATTGGAGGCAGATTGTTCTCTTGTTGAACTCAAAACTATAATCTGGGGCTAAATGAATGGATGTATAAGCTAAATATAACATAATTAACCAGAAAGGTTTTTAAATCAAAGTTATAGGATTTCATAGATACTAAGATGTATCGTTTTAAATAGCCTGGTTAATTATTGACAAAAATAGGCTTACTTATAAATAGTAAGAGAATAGTTATCGTATAGCAAAGTCAAACACAAAGACGTACTTAATCTGAATAAACGCAATTTTTTTTACAGAATCGGCTATAGAACCTAAAAATAATTACGAGGCTCCAAAAGCTTAGTCAGAAGATCACTCGAAGGCTGGGGCACTTTAGTATTAACGTTTTGCATATGCTAGAAAGAAATACATTAATACAGATTTTTTTTATTTCGCGTAACATTATGAACCTCCTTCCAAAAAAAGATCAAAAAATAATTTTAATAAATATTTAAAAATGATAGAAAACATTTGAAATTATAAATATAAATATTATTATGTACTTTGATAAACATAGTGTTTTAAGGGACTGTGATAAATCAGAGTCCCCTTACTTCAGTTCCTGGCCCATGATACTGAAATATCTTAGTGATCTTTTCGCCTGAAAGAAAAAGTAAATTACACTAAGATATAACATAAAATCCTCATATTGATAAAACCTTTTTTCAGAGATTCTAATGTGTACGAATTTAAATATGCTATTCATCTTGAATCCAGTTGTTAAAAACACGTTAAAAAAAACACGTTAGAAAAAAACACGTTTATCTCCTGCATTAAGAAAAGAGGCAAAAAAAGGATTTCAGCGTATGGAGATCAAGTGCCTCAAAATAGAGTCCCTATATCTAAAGAGAATTACGGCAAGAGGCTTCAAAATATGTTCAGAATAGGGTTGCGAAAATAAATGATAGCGAAATCAGTTACCACACTTCAACCAACGAAGAGATAAGTAACCACGCTATATTTGCCTAAATTATTACTTTTATTGATACAGCTCTTTAAATATTACTTCATAAAAACTAGGTTACGAAATTTTATGATTAATCTAATTTTTGAGGTAAAGCTATAAATTTACTATTTTATGTTTTTTAGCTATAGCTGCTAAGTTGCTTAGTTATTGAGAAAAAATTTTATTGACAGTAGCAGCGATTGATTTTTAACGATTAAATAATTATTTTTAGTTTCAATTTTTTTTTATTACTTACCATGATACACCAATAAATAAAACATATGCTTATGAGTAGTATGCACCGCGATATAGCCGACGGAAGTGACGTCATCATGGAAAGTCAAGGATGCTTTTCCCTGCATACATATTTTCCCTGCATACATATTTCCCTGCTACATATTTTCGTTTCCCGGGTGGGAAACGAAAATATGTAGTAAACCGGAAGTTGCTTATTTCAGACCGCTTGCTTATTTCTGTCCGTGTGCTTATTTCTGCCCGTAGTTTTTAGTTTCGGTTTCTGTTTTTTTAATATAGTTTCGTTTTTTGATATTATTTTCATTTATTACTTTTTTGAGGGTGGCAACACTTATTAATATTATTTTACTTGTTTAAGGTGGCAATACTTATAAGCTTTGTTATTTGGGGGAGAAATCGAATATTATGAAGTAATGATGTCATTTTTTAATACATAATAAATAAATAATATCATGCACATACTTTACTCTAGTGGCCCCATCTGTGTGGGAATGTTAGAAATAAAATAACTTTAAATCTATTTCATTATTTAAATCTATTTCATTATTTAAATCTATTTTATTATTTATTAAATGTAGTTACGGCTGAGGATCGAACATTAAAAAGCATTCGTGGGTCAGTGGTTATGATATTCAACTACTGACCCATGAATGCTTTTTAATTGGCGTGAGTTCGATCCTCAGCCTTAATTGTATTTAATAAATAATAAAATAGATTTAAATAATGAAATAGATTTAAAGTTATTTTATTTCTAACATGAATGACTTTCCGTGATGACGTCACTTCCGTCGGCTATATCGCGGTGCATACTACTCTTATTAATTCTACTAGCTGGGTGTTTATGCTTTTAAGTGTTAGTACAGTTTTAAAAACATCTTCCTCTTTTATTTATTGTTTTCTACAACTTAATAAAACCTTTCTCAACAATAGCACACGTTGTACGTTTGTATTAGAATTATAAACTTAGAATGTTCCTTATACTACTTATATTACTATTCCATTTTTAGGTTTGCATTCTGTCGCTCACATTTTCAATGTCTTGAATTTTTCTCTTCATTATAACGATGATTTTAATGCTGTAAATATAGCAAGATTTAAAGGACAGGTAATAAAGTATGATTACGTTATAACACTAATTATGATCCTTCTTAGAGTATTATTTCATTACCTATAAGCCATATTTTAAATTTTCTTAAAAGAAACATCAAATTACAAAATTTACTTATTTTAAACATTTCTATTGACTGAAAGTTCTGGAACGGTTTTTTCTAATAATATACGGACCCAGAAATCAAGACAACGTACAGTGCGTAAAAAAAATAAACGGACCATCCTGAATAACTTTTGTTCTAACGATTGGATCTTCACGTTCTAAAACTAAACCATAATGGTTCGAGGGGTGACCTCAAGTATACTAATTAATTACTGCAGATGTTATTTTAAGTTACAAAAACGCATGATTTCTGAATAAACATACCTTTTTTCCTGATACCTGATTCGGATCTCTGAACCCCAATATAAAGGGGGTAGCCGCAATCTGGGAAATGTGTCTTATGGCGAATTTTGCCGTATCTTGAGATCTTTTTAGAACTTTTTGAAAATGTCGAATTTTTAAAATTCGATTTCTCAGGAATTAGACCAATTTCGATAAAATTTGTATTTTATCAGGTAAAAGGACAATGACATTCTTTAAAATAATGTAATAAATTTTATACCTTAAAATTCAAGCATTTTTCGACCATTATGAAAATAAATAATAAAAAATAGTAAATAGTTACTGAAATTAATTTTTTGCGTGGAATTATTTTCGGATAAATAAATTCTATAATTGAGCAAAAGAAATTTCAATTCGCTTAAAAAGTTCTCGAGATATGGTGAAATACGCCAAAAATAAAATTAGCATTAAAGAGTTCGAACTTAGGATAGCTCTCAACTATGAGGATCAACTAGAGGCAATCTGGGAAGTATGATCCTCAAACTATGAGGATCATATTTCCCAGATTGCCACTGTACAAATTTTGGGAATCAGAAATCCAAATTTCGTCGAAATAAACGGAACGCGTGTTTTTGTGTCTGATTTCGTATCTTAAAATATTGTCTGCATTAATTAATTAGCACAAAATACGTGAAGATCCAATCATTTGATCAAAGTTATTCAGGGTGGTCCGTTTATTTATTTATTTTTTTACACACTGTACGTGGACCTGCGTATGAAACCTACATGGTCCAATATACACATGAAACTACATGTATAAAAACATGTATTGGCTCGGTAACCTCTTTGCACGTCGGATAAATTGTTTCGTTGAGTTTTTGAATAATTAGATTTAGAATTTTTGGGCATACGTTGGTTAAACAATCAGCTATTCTGTTAAACTAAAACTAGATCAATGATGGTACGCGCTGTTAAGTTTCTCTGAACATTTTTTAAAGTATCTATTTACAATGGAAACTTCATCAAAAAATTATTTTTGAAAGTTTAATTTTTAAAAAATTAGAACAGAAATTTAAAAAAGTTTTCATGGCCGTCGTTAAAGGATGGTTTCTAAAGGGTATCTATCATACATATGTTTAGTTCAAAATAAGCTATTTTATTAACTATTTCGTATATAGTTAATATATCATGTATAGATTGAAATAAAGATTATATAGCCAAAACAAGCGAAATATTAAAAGTAAATATTTGTTATTTATTATGTAACCAATATAAATTAATTGAGCCATTTGTGAAACTTTCTTCTCATAAAATTATTTCTTCTTCCTCAAATTTCTTTATAACTTAAGGAAGAAACCACTTATGAATGAGTACTAGTTTTAAAATTGTTTGTTATAGTCGGATTATTGTGCTGACAAAAAAAGTATGGTTAAATTTTTAGTTTAATTTTTACCGAAGCGCTTTAGTAATGATCTTAGTAAAATTAACTGTAGAATATGTTTTCATAATATGCGATCAAATTTGGTGAATGGAATAAAATTTAATAATTTCCAAAGCACCTTAGATTATGACAAAAAGACATTTATTTGACTAAATTTACTTTTCATTTTTGCATTTTTTACTAAATGTGTTCTTATAAAGACTTTAATTTTTAAAACCAGAATTTCTAGTAAACCGGTATAACCATATGAACAGAAAAATTACCTAATGAACAGTTTAAATACCGAAAATTTTCTTTAATTAAGCAAAATGATGTTTTTTTTTCTTCTTTACCAAGTACTGTAATTTTACGAGAATTTTTTTCTCTGTTTGAATATTCATCTTATTTTTTCTGTCTTAAAATACTTTGCTAAGAATATCTTTCTTAAATGTTTCTTTTGCTTCTTTAATATTTCAAAATGGATTACAGAGCTGTTAAACGCATAACCTGAAATTTTTACTGACGCGTTAAATGTGAACACTTGGTCCACGGCAGACATTTATTGCAAAGTGCTCCGTGCTCACCAGACTTAAAATCATAATATTTCTTATGAGGACTTAGAAAGAATCTGCATTTTCAAAACGTGCTTGCTGTTCTTTTGGATATTTTTTTTAATAAATATGAAATCATATCAAATTTTTTTTCTCATTTTCAGTAAGAATAGACTCTTGCTTCAATTTTCATTTTAATATATTAATAATTCATGGAAGAGGTTGTGAGTTCGATCTCCTTCGGTTCGAGGACCTGTGAACAAAATAGTGACTAGTTCGTGCTAAATCTATCAGGGTCACAAAGTCCTACAAATTCCCATAACAAATCAATATCCAGGGGATACTTTATCGAAGATCGACCGCGCTCTGGTTAACCAAACCGAATTAACCAAATTTTTAGAAAAGGGGCATTTTTATATCAAAATTAATTCCCTAGTATTGCTTCTAGTAGGTATAGCCCCTTGTTGCAGCAGGAGATTATAAGTAATTTCCCTTATATAATGTCACAAAAAAAGATTTTTGCCTAGAAGGAAATCATAGTGTTTCTTACGTAAAACTCACGAACAGCTTGAAAAAGAGGCTCATCATTATACTGTTACAAACACTTTAAATACAAAGCTACTAATTGCATGTAGAAGAATAATGTAAAGTTCAAACATATGTTTTTCGCTATTAGGAAAATTGGATGTAATTCATTTGTTATAACCATCATTATTATAAAGTTAGTTTAATTCTAAAAATAATACTAATTTGTCAATGTTTCATTTTTTAATCTTTAAACACTCATTAAAATACCTGCATATAATATTTTTACCTATACAGTGTTCTGCTTATTTAATATTAATTCTATGAATTTCATATAGTCACCTACTAAAATTGTTTTTAAAGATAAAATTTTGTCTTTTTTTATTATATTTAAAGTCAAGTAACTATATACTGGCCAAAGTTATTTGCAATATTCTGTACTAATAATCTAAGATATTTTTTTAAAAACTATTGATAGTAAAATTATTATGTCATAAAACATAAAGCACTATAAATAAAAGTGCCTTATAAATGTTTTGTATTATATCCGAGATTCCATTCTACTTTATTCTAGACCAATCTACTTTATTCTGAATCTATTTAAAACAGCCCACTGTAAAAAAATGGATTCTCAAATATCATGAAATTTCCTTCGTTTTTGACGAAACCGTTCCCTGCCTTATGCTCAGAGCAGAAATTTCGTGTGACTAAATAACTAACGTCACTTCTTCAGGAAAACGAATTTTGTTAAATTTAAAGAGATATTTCATCACACTATTATTGAAAGGAAAAAATCCTGTAGTGCGCAATGTATCTAATTTTTCTAACAATTATTTTAACGCGGCACCATATAGGCGGCACTACACAAAAAAAGGACAGATAGAACAAGGATATTTATTACACCCACACATATTTTGTATTTTCTTATTTAACATTTTGAAGTTTTAAATGACTTAAAATCTTATATCTTACAATTCAAATTTCTTTTAAATATAATTTAAAAATTAAATAAATATTTAATAAAAATTAATTTTCATAATTTATCTTCGGACAAATGAATGTTATAATTGTCTGCAAAAGGCTTTTGATTTACGTAAAAATTACCGAGATACAAGGGGTGAACAAAATAATGGAAACACTTCGATGCGAACACATTTTTTGATCTTTCTCAAAAAATATTTAGAGAATCATTTTATAATTTAGAATTGTTCAATTTCTCATACATAATAATAAAGTTTAAAGCTTTTAGAGGTTTTAGGGACCTACAATAAATTATAAACAGAAAATAATGTTTTTGAACTACCTGCTCTCTAAGTATTTCTTGAGAAATATGTAAAAATGTAATAGTATAGAAGTATTTCCATTATTTTGTCCACCCCCTGTATGACAAACTATTCAAAAAGTAAAAAAAAAAAAAAAAAAAAACTTAAGGGCCAAAACTTTTATTCGCTCTTTTGGCTAAACTATTGGACCATATTTTGGTCCGTTATATTTTGATATTAAAAAATCAATTCTGTTTGTTGAAAAGAAAGTAGGTTTATTCAGAGAAAGAATGTTTTCGTGACTGATTCCATAACTTCTTTAATCGTTAATGTTACTAAGATAATTTGAGGTCAACCCTTTGAACCATAAAGTTCAGAGTTTAGTTCGTGAAAATCTGATCATTAGAAAAAATTTTATTCAGGGGATATTTTTTATTTACTTATTTATTTATTTTGGTTCACTGCACAAAAAAATTGGATTGTTTTTTACATGGAAAATACATATTTTATACTGCTAGAAACACTAAATTGATTCTTCTTTAAAATATTTTCTACTTCTAATTAATTTCATGTACAGGGTGTCTCAAAATCCATGCAAGCGGTAATCTTGATAGAAAACATAAGTTTTTAATTTAAAAAAAAAAAATGGGGTTTTTTTTTTATTTATTCATTAAATATACAGCATAAGATTACACTGTCGGATAAATTGCCTTCACGGATTTACTAACGCAAATCTACTTTTATATCGAAATTTTCAATGATAGTTGTCCATAAATGTGGCATATCGTGTTCAATTTTCTCCTTCCAGGCATGGTGGACTAGTTAGCATAAACCGTAGGCTTGGAAGAAAAAGACAAAAAAAGCGCTAATAGCATTAAATCGCATGATCTCTGCTGCCTATTCTGATTAATAAAATGAGGAACTACTCTGCCGGTTCATGATTTAACATTGTTCGACAATTCTTTCATGCAGAGCTCCATTTTTAATAAACCTGAACTTTCAGCTGTTACTTTCCCTTCTCTTTTTTGTTTTGATGATAAAATTTTATTACACAAATGACGCAATATCAAAATCATGTGTGAATTTTGGGACACCTTTTATAATGCATAAAAAACTTTTTAACCAATCCTTAATTTTTATCCTATGATTTTTCTCTTTGACAGGATCCGTTATCAATAATCCTACATTCAGGTTGGTTTAGGTTCTTTGTATATTTCTTTACTTTCAGCTTATGTAGCATCAGAATTATTATAGTCATTTTTTACTTCACCTTTTTCACTTCTAATTTTTCAGTTGCAGGATTGACAGGAATATTTATGATTATTACACTTTGCATTCTTTCATCGGCTTCTATGTCATATGTGAGGTAAATATAATAATTTTATTATTCCTTAACTTCTTTGTTCTTCGTTTAAATCTCACGTTTTTAACATTCCATTCAAAGTTCAAAGAAAATTGAAAAATTGTTTTCATGCACGGCAGTTTGAACTTTTCGAGAGAAATTGACCTTTTCTGCCTCTCTGAATAATGAGTATGCAAATCCAGTTGTTCTGTAATAAAATACGTAATATTATAAAAAGTATAGTTAGCCCGGCAACAATAGAACCATAACATTAAAACTAGCAGCTTCATGGTACAAAACAATCTTAATCTAAAAGATAAAGCCAAAAATTAATCTTACCCCACACAATGGTTGAAACTTGAAATTAGAATTTTAGACCTAATACTTTGTATTCGATTTTCATTATTTTTGTATTTATTATTTAAATTGTATTACATATATATATANTCCAGCCTACATATTAATTTGCGACCATTAATTTATAATTTTTTTTTTCATTTTAGTTTAAAACTCAGAAAATGCGTATTAAGGGCGTTGATTACGGTGGAACGCTCTCCCTCTCTTATATATATATATATATATATATATAAGAGAGGGAGAGCGTTCCACCGTAATCAACGCCCTTAATACGCATTTTCTGAGTTTTAAACTAAAATGAAAAAAAAAATTATAAATTAATGGTCGCAAATTAATATGTAGGCTGGAAAAAAGCGCTATCGGAATCTGATGAATCACTAGTTAGAAAGAGAGGATTAAAGACAACAAAACCTGTTTTATTACAAAAAGAAATTTAAAAAGTTTTCTAATAACCATCTTTCAACTCCTCACTATTTCCTTCAGCGGTTAATAAAGTTCTAATGTTTTGTTTTTCCCTTTTCTTTTTTTTACATCCCGCCTTCCTCTACAATGATTTTATTTTATTTTATTACCGTCGTTGAACAGCCGACCCAGTTTTTTGAGTTTACGACTACCTAATGTTCAACTCCGTAGCTTTGTAATTTTGAACCAAATTAAGAAGACAGGGGAACTCTCCTGGATCAAGTATTGGGAAAAATTTGCTTTCGTAGAGGACTTTTTGATGGAACTAACTCGCATTTGCGTTACATGGAGAGGAAAATCATGAAAAATTCTCACGGTTAGGCTGATGGCAAGGGGACTCTAACCCATGATTCGTCTACCACTGAGGATCTTTTACGTCAGTACTGTGGTCGGTGCAAGCCGGATGCGGAATACGTATCGACCAGCCATCGCTGGGAATCGAACCCGGTTCACATCATAGAAAGGCGAACGCTCTATACTCTGAGCCATCACAGCTCCTCTACAATAATTAGTCAGATTTACTTAGCGTATTTTTTTAAATTGAATTACACTGCTCAAAACAATTAAAGGATATTGAGGTTGTGTGTTGATCTTACACCTGGAGAATTGTTTGAATGATTGATACGTTATTGACAGATGTAGTTAGCTATATGAGATAAAAATGGAAATAATGTTTAGCAGAAAATAATGCGTTTTATTGAGCATTTGGGCACAAGAGGAAAAAAACGCAATTGTGCATATGAGAAAAATAAATTTAAAAAAAGGTGTTTCTCTAAAAGAAAATCGTTTTTAGTAGAGGGTATGGCTTCCCTGGACGGCCAGCAATGTTGAACACCTTTAAGGCATCCAGTCAATGAGGTTATTAATGAGGGACTAGGGTATTAAGCCCCACTCCTCCAGAAGAGCTTTTTCCAGTTCTTGGAGAGTTTGTGGAGGTGTCGCAAACATGCTCGATTGGGTTCATGTCCGGAAAACACGCAGACCAATCCATTCGTATGATTCCTTCTTCCAAAAGGAAATCTTTCACCAAGTTAGCACGATGTGCCCAGCAATTGTCGTCCGTTATCATGAAGTCATCTCCAATTGCTGCAGCGTAAGGGACTACAATAGGTCTCAGGATCTCATCCTTATATTGGCAACCCGTCAGAGCTCCATTTCGAATGATATAGAGATCGGTACGCCCATCAATGGAGATGCCAGCATAGACCCCACCGCCAAATCCTATACTTCCGTGCATGAACGCAGAATTGTTTCTAGTGCCGCGTTCCCCCCAGATGAAAATACGCCTACTATCAGGATGAGCAGGAAAAACCAATCTCGTCAGAGAAAAGAATACTACGCCATTCATTTCTCCTCTAGTTCACATGCTCTGTTGCCCACTCCCTGCGGGCGAGACGGTGCCTTGCTGTTAACGTGACACACACCATTGGTCGGTGAGCATATAGATCTACAGCTTAAAGGCAGTTTCGGACAGTTTGTGTCGAAACTGTGGTGCCAGTAGCCGTGCTAAGGTGTTGTTGAAGAAGAATGGCTTTCATATTTTGGTGTCTGCGAGCCGTTAGCCTAAAATACCTAAAATAGTGGTCTTCATTGGGCGTTGTTGCACGTCTACGATCTTGCCCTGATCTTTGGCCTGCATTTCCAGTCTCCTAAAAATGGTTCCAGATCCTGGAAATCATACTTGGTGAAACTCCAATTTCTCCGGCTTGTGTTTGGCTCCCCTCTAACCAGCCAACAACTCTCCAAGCTTTTGATTTGGTGAAATGACTTCATTGAAACATTGCACTCATCGAAACAACGCGCTTACTGAATGTCTATCATTCTTTTCGCTTTGTCTTACATTAAGTTAAAAGCCAGAACTAATTCGCTGCCACTGGAGTGTCGTCTTCGATGTAAAACTCAAGATTTGTATACTGCGAAGTCTGAAAATAAGAAAAATTTGTATTTGTGACTCTCTTCTTCCATTTTAAGCAACAACAATAAAATTGCTCTGATACCGTTCTTTTATACAAGGCTTACAATATCCTTTAATTATTTTGAGTAGTGTATTAATTTGAACTATTGTGTTCATTTTTTTACTTCATTCTTGGCAAAGATTCTAAAAAGAATTCAAATTGCAGTAGACCCTGCATATTAAAATTGCACCGTTTGCAATATACAATGAGCAAAAAATAACATTTCACAGTCTGAAAATACTTTTTTAAATAATGATCAGATCTTTTTTTTTTCGTATTAAAGGACAATTTTCATAGTTTAAGCGTTCATTATAGGTAATTTTGACAGAAAAATCTTGACAAAATTATAATCCCCCGTGTACGTTAAATTACATTTAGATAGTCTTCTTCTTCTTCCGTAATGCTAATGTAAACAAATTCTAACGTTTAACCTACGGTTTTCGAATAATTTTTATAAAACGTTTATTCTTTGATCACCGTTCAATTTAAATAGCGTATTTGAAATAGAATTAAAAGGAAAGCACCATCTTAAAAGAAACAAAAAATAATATGATGAAAACGGATACGTAGTCAAAAGAGCAGCAAACCAATTTTTTAATAGATTTTATTTTTCATAATACTAACACTGTGTAACATTTTTTATTTTTTTAGTTTTCTGTTGTCTGTTATTTTTTTAACATATCTTAGAATGTTTCCGTATTGCCGTTTTCAAATCTGCTATCGGATTTTCTTACAAAGCTATTTTTTGAAATGACATTTTTAATCGATTTTTTTGGGATAATGTGCAAGTTTTAAAACGTTATATATAACAGGGGATCACCTAAATTTTGCGACAAACTATTATGGCAGTTAAGAAACATTATTAGGATTAAAATTGCATAGGAACTCCTATCCGAAATAACGTCATACGCCGCTAGAGTGCTTCCCGATTATAAACTGTTTTTTCGTGTGTTTCTGAAGAGGTCATAATTGGGAAGCACCCCAGCTGTGGAAAATTACTTTTCCGGGCATAGATTCCTATGCAGTTTAATATTGATGATATTAAAGTCCCCTAAGAACTTCTCGTAATATTTATGCGATCCCTTGTTATATATAACATTTTTAAACTTGTATATTTCGACAAAAAATAAACTAAAAATGTCCTTTTAAAAAAATTTGAAGCTTTGGAGCAAAACTATTTTCAGATTTGAAATCCACGCTCCCGAATTAGGTAAAATCAAGTACAAATGCAACAAAAATTTTGTTCCCCAGTGAAATTTGTAAAAACCATTTCTAATTTTCTAACTAATTATTAACTACTTTTTTTTAACTTCGATTTATTTCGTATCACAAGCACTTATGGTTTTTCACATTTTAAAATAGTTTAAATGTTCAGCGTGACAGGCCGGCAACTTAGCAGATGTTTTGCTTCATCCTAGTGAATGTAGTATAAGAAAAAGAAATAAGATTAAAGATTTTTCTCAATACCTTACTTCCCTAATTATGACTATCAAGTGTAGGATTTATTACTAATTTAATTTCATTAATCCTTTAATTAAATTATTTTCAATCCTTTCCTTTCAGAAATGCAAGTTACGACCTATTTTGGTTCACTCATCATCTGTTTTTAATATTCCTGGTATTGCTTTTATGTCATCCATTGAGGTTAGTATCTGAATTTAAAACGTTCTATTAGATTTTAATTTTCATTTTAATTTTAGCTTTAACTATCCCTTTAATTTAAAGATATTTTTGGTAGCTGGGAAATAGTTGAGACATTTTATTCCTTGATTTTTTTTAACTATTTTTTTAAACATTTTTCTAAATTGAGGCTCTCGCTGCATATTTATAAGTTAAATTAAAATGCCCTTTAAGACAAAAACAAATGCAGAAACCAAAAACATATCTAAATGTACTACTATATCGCGAATATAGTGCTACAACTAAATAAATTAATATTTTTTGAGCTATATATACATCTCTTATGATTAGCTCTAAAAATATTATAATCTAACCTTTGAAATGCTTTAGATAATGCTAGATAAGTCTGAAATTAGCCAAGCATAAGTGGAATATTGTGGTAAATGTTAGAAATTAAACAAGTCAAAATATTAAATTAAGGCATTGATTTTTCAAATCCAATCTTTTAGAAATATCTAGTTACTATACCATACCCACAAAATATTTTTTAAAATATTACTGAAATAACAATGCTACGCATTTGAAATGAAAATGGGATTTCTACTTTAATTATTAGATAATTTATATTTCATAAATCATTCATCCATCAAAATTAATTTTTCATGAAGCTTTTCTTGTTAAAATTTATTCTGTATTTGTATCTCAAATAAATATTTTTAAAAAAATTTTAAACTCATATTTTACTTTTAAAATAATTCCTGTTGCAGCGGACAATTAAAAGAACAAACAAATCTTTTCTTGCATCAACCTGGCTGTAACATGAATAAAAATGGATCGAACTATATTTATTCAACATCCTCAAAAGTCTTTTGTACAGAAGATCCGATTTTTGCATCTCAGACATCTGTGGTATGATTTTTTTTTTAAATCAATGTTTATTCACATGACTATGTATGTTAAATCAGTAAAAATTTAACTCAAATGTACTTCTCAAGTTATAAAAGGGACCCCAAAGAGGTTCATCAGATTTTTAGTTATAAAAGTGATATCTTGGAATAGTAAAGTAGCTACAAATGGAGACAATATACAGCGCTACCTGGTGGTGAAATTCAAAGTTAACGTTTCTATCTGGAAAATGGTTTAAGATATAAGGAAAAGTGAATGACAAAGTTGTAGAACATCATCTATTTTGTACAAAAAACGATACCTTATAGATGATAAAAAAATGCTTAAAAGGCGCATTACTTATTTCGCGATGTATGACGTAAACAACTGGATCTCACAAGGTACCTTTAATTTCGTTATTCAAACTTCTCTTGAGCTTTGTAGTGTTCAAAAAATTAAAAAAAAACACTTTTATAATTTTTGTTCGCGTTCTGAAATTCCTTTTTAATGATCTCGGAAGCTAATTTAAAATTTGTTAATTTATTTATGCAGACGATATTTTAAGAAACAAAATCATTTCCAAAAATGTGCTTTGTCTGAATTAGCATACCTTTTTTTTATAGGAACTTAAATTTTAGATTCTCAAAATATGAAAAGGACCAGGAATATGGGAAATATGATCCCAATTTAGGCAGGAGAGTAGGCAAAAATTTTGACTTCTTAATATTAGTTTTGATTTTTGCGTATTTCGCGATATTTCTGAAATAATTTAATCGGATCAAAGGAATTTTGCACGCAGTTGTAAATCTCTTTTATTCAAGATAATTCATTGCAAAATATAAAATTAAAGACAAGTTATTATTTTTTACTATTTAATAACAGTGAAAACAGCGATACAAATTTTAATTTGAGTTTAAACTGCATAACTTTAAATGGCAAATTACAAAATTTTATCGAAATCAACCGAATAGTTTCTGAGTAACGAAATTTCTAAAAAAGACGTATATTGAAATTTTCATTTCTCAGAAACTGTTCAACTGATTCCATTCGAATGTTGGATTCTGTTGTTTAAAATTGTGTAAATATTTGTGTACCTTACAATTCTAACACTTTTCAACAGTTTTAAATAAAATAATATAAAATAAATATAATTTTTTCATACTTTTTATCGTTAAATTATCTTTGAATAAATGAGTTTTACAATTATATTCAAAATTATTTAGATTATTTTAAGCAGTTCTAAAGATATAGAAAAGAATAAATGCATTAAAATTGATATTAACATTAAGGGGCCCAAACATTTGGTTACTCTCCTGTCAAAATTATTGTGACCATACTTTTCAAATTGCAGATACCTCTCAAATTTTGAGAATGAAGAAATGATTCTTCTTGAAAAAATGCTTATTCGGAGAAACTGCGTTTTTGTCTCGTATTTCGTAACTTAAAATATAGTCTGATGTAAAAAAAATAGCATGCATAAGGTTGACTATTCTAACTATTGTAAGATTGCAACTAACTGCATGAGATTTCAATCATTAGATCCAAAGTTATTAAAGTGTTGCGTTTTTATTTTGCGCACAGTACATAGAAAATAAAGATATTTAGAGTTAACTCGTTTTTTATCCTATTTACACTGTAAAAAATTACGGATCAAATTGCATTATAAAATATCGGCACTTTGTGGGCATCATCTGTATCACCCATTTTACAGTAAAATTCATTTTTACTGTAAAATATTATATCGTAATTTTAATAGTAATGTTTACTTACTAAAAGTGATTCAGTGATTTTACGGTAAAAATTATGGCATTTTGTCATGACATAAAGACGCTTTTGAAGCATTCTTATCTCAACTCTACACATCAATTCGTATTAAATTGAAACTAAGTTTTTTACTTTTTTTTATTAGCTGAAACTAAGTATTTTACTTTGTTCCTTATCTCTCATACAATTTTCGACACATAAAAGTTAACCTTACAACTATCTACCAGGTGGCACTGTAAGCGGTTTCATCGTGTAGCGCATTGCCACTAACGATAATATTCACTGTTCGAAAGGTGAAAGAGTAGAATAAGGCTTCAATGGGCACTCTGTTTGGTCTGAATATTAAGTATCTTTTAACAAACATTATTCTTAAAGAGTTATAAACACTCGAGGATGCTACTCATTGTTCCCTGTTCGAAAGGTGAAAGTATTCGATTATGTTCGAAAGGTGAAAGGATAGAATAAGGCTGCAATGAGCACACTGTTGTGTTGAGTTTGAATTAAGTATCTTTTAACAAACATTATTCTGAAAGAGATCAATGGAAGATGCTACTCATTATTCACTGTTCGAAAGGTGAAATTGTTCGAAAGGTGAAAGGGTAGAATAAGGCTTTAATGCGCATACTTTTGAGTCAGAATTAAGTATCTTTTAACAAGCATTATTCTTAAAGAGTTCACTGGAAGATGCTACTCATTGTTCACTGTTCGAAAGGTGAAATTGTTCGATGATGTTCGAAAGGTGAAAGGGTAGAATTAGCCTGCAATGAGCACACTGTTGAGTCAGAATTAAGTATCTTTTAACAAACATTATTCTTAAAGAGTTCACTGGAAGATGCTCCTCATTGCTCACTGTTCGAAAGATGAAATTGTTGGATGATGTTCGACAGGTGAAAGGGTAGAATAAGGCTGCAATGACCACAATTTTGAGTCTGAATTAAGTATCTTTTAACAAACATTATTCTTAACGAGTACTCTTATAAACACTCGAAAACGCCACTCACTGTTAATTTTAAAATTTAGTTTTCACTGTCTAATGGCTGGTTGAAATCTGGCTGACCTAGTCTGGCTGGAGGTGGGAAGCTGTTTTCTCAATAAATAAGAATTATTTTTGTCTTAACTTTTGAACTAGTACCCATTTTACCCATTACCCATTTTAAATATTATCAGCCTTTTTTAAAAAGAAATTAGTTAGTTAATCAAATTCAAAATTTAATGTTGGATGTATTAAAATATATTGAGTTTTAATACTGGGCATTATCATTAACAAGGTGTATTATTTCATAGCGGTTGAATAATTTTCAGGAAATAAAAATCCAAGCATGGTATTTCAAGTTACTTAACTTGAAATACCATGCTTGGATTTCGTGACAATTTTCGTGACATTCGTGACAATTTAAATTTTTATTTCTCGAAAACTATTCAAATGAGTTCGGCTGCATTTTTTTTCCATTTAAATATTCTTGGAAAGGATATAAAGGTTTGTATAACTCACAAATCAACATTTTTGAGGATTATTTAAGTTAGCGAGAATTGATGGGAGGGCATAAAGATTAGTAAAAAGGAATGTTTTCTACTAATTTTTGTGTAATAAAAATATTTTTTGGAGAAGAAACTTTTATATGGTCACAAATATATGGTTTTGCTTCAAAAATAAAAAGGAACGCAAAGAGTAAAAACAATAATAAGAAGAAAATCTGACTTTCCACCTTTTTTTCTGATTAATATATTCGGGAATGCGACAATCCACCCCTTGCCATAACTCGAGCCTAAAAATTCAAATCTGTAAAAAAAAAGTTAATTTAAAAAAGTAATTTTTCTGTTGTTAAATTGTTAATGATGTAAAAATTCGGCTAATTGTGTTTCTACAGCATAAGTTTAAAAGAATTGTTTATTATTTTGCTCATTTATTTATTTTATACATAATTTGATTTATGAACATTAGATAACCTGAAAGCATTAATTGAAAGAGAAATATGATAAATAAAATACTGCAGTCTACGTTTTCAGATATTTCATAGAAGAAATTTTACATTATCGATCAAGCGACTATTTTCTTTCACATAATTTATTTTATTAACTATTTTGAATTTTGATCAAGATAAATAACATAATATACAAAAATAATTAAAAAAAATAATTACGTATTATTTGTTCCTAAATATATTGAGAAAAAGATGCCGTTTCTTAGACAATCACTCTATTTTTCATCTTTAATAATACAGTGTTCTTTTCTCAGACTGTTTTAATGAGGAATACAATTTATCGTTTGTTTTTAATTGTCAGTCTTAAAGTATAATAAAAAACTGCATAATTGACATAAATTTATTATTATTAATTACTCTTTTTAGACTTGGAAATGGATATTAGCTGGTTTGACAATTTACATTATTGATCTTAGTTTCCGTTTCTATAAGAGAAAAGACCCAGTACAGCTTTTGGATTTTCAAATTTATAAATGTGATATGATAAGCTTAAGTTTACAGAAAAGAGATTTTACGGCAAAACCAGGGCAGGTATGCAATATATTTTCGATTTTGAAATAATTTTCTGATTTCTATACTTAGTTTCTGAGATTTTTTTTTTCAATCCATTTTGATTATCTAGGACTGTTTTGCTGAAAGAGACCTAGTGTATAGTTGGCATGCTATAGTACATCTATTTTTTTTTCTCTGTAATTTTATAGAAAAATTTTACAGTGAACTGTAAACCATCCAGTCCCACACTATTAAGAGCGTAAAATCATTTCCAAGAAGAGTCACATCTGTTTCGAAGAAAAAAAAAGGATTCAATGCGATATTGAAGAGAATATTTTGTACTCATGCAGCTGTAAATTAAAGGTATAAGAGCTTGAGCTTAAAAAAGGAGGAAAAAAAGCACTAAAAATAATTTTGGAAATATATTCTCGCAAATATTGAAAAATAATCCCCATAACTACATTCCCAGTTATGAAATTTCAACAAAAAATACTTATTAAATTAAAAAAAATCTCCCTTGCCCTAAAATGGCTAAAGCTATTTGCCACACTTGCACCCTTGATACCATTAACTGTCCACTATAATTAAATGTTCCATCTCTTCCTTTTTTTTTAAATTTATTTTTCTAATTTTCATTCATTTTTGGATTATTCGATGTTGATATGTTTTGAGTTGGCAAGATTTTTAAAGAATGTGTTTTGTAATGAATATCTGATCTTATTTATTATAAATTTTACAAATAATGTGAAAGAATTAATTACCGTTTCTTTCAGAATTCTTTTCATTAAGAAACAAACGTAGTAAAAATATATATACAGTGTGTCCCAATTAAATCAATCCAACTTGATTTTTTGCCATAACTGGGTGCAAAGAAACCAATAAAAACCAAACATATGTATTTAGAAATTCCATACCTACAAGAAGTAACTTACAAGTAACTTACAACACATATTTACAAGAAGTAACTTACTTCCTGCTTCACCTGGGCAAGGGGAAAAACATCGAATAAATAAAAACGGAGGAAAAAAGTGTCCCATCACTCACATCAAAATAAAACCACTTCTTATTATAGCTATCATATCCGTCATGTTTATATATGACTTAAAATCTATGATTTTGTGTAACATTTACTGAACCCTGGAGGACATTAGCATCAATATTATCTCAGGTTTCAATGAAGTCAGCCTTCAATTCTGCCCGAAATTGAAACTACCATTTTTGCCGCATACAGACTTACTGTGAGTAGAGTCCTCACGTTTTCTTAGGGATATAGATTAAGTAAAAGAGGAAGACATTGAAGGCATCGATTCATTGAAGGCAAATATAAAACAAAATAATAAGTGGAAAAAAAGAGGAAATCTTCTCCAAATGGATGACAATGTTTAGATTTATAAATGCTATGGCCCTGGAAAGGTTTAATTTATGGTGACAAACTTAACGTGGCCTTTTCCCCAGGCTGCGTGAAGACTACCAATTACCAAAAATTCTAAAAGCTTATTTACTGGCATTTGAAGCATGAATTGTCCACCCAAATCAGATTTTCTAGTAAGAGAATGTCTTCAATTACGCTACAAAACCATCCAAGTAGAGATTTTGGGATAATAGGGTGCATGTCAGGAATGAATTGCGCTTTCTCATGACCTCAATTCTCCAGAAAGCGTGAGGGGTTATACGCTATTCTCAGTAATGCTGTATATTCAAAAACAGAAACAGTTTCAGTCTGTGGCAAGTTGAAGACTGCATTCATTTGAACTTGACATAATATTGATGTCATTGCCCTCCTGGTATTGGTAAATGGTTTGCAACGTAATATATTTTATGTAAGATGAAAAATATGGTGAATATTTTGGCCGAAATCTGTAGTGGCTTCATTTCGTTGGGGCATTTTTTCCCTCCTTCTTTCACTTACGTATTCTTCTGCCCGGGCGGAGCAGGAAGTGAGTTATTCCTAATAAATACGTGTTTAAGATATCGTTTTTCATAATATATACCGAAGAGCCATTACATTATGACCACCCTCCTAATAACATGTAGGGCCACCTTTAGCCCTCAAAACTGGGAGCACCCTCCGTGGCATTGATTCCACAAGGGGCTGATAGGTAGTCTGAGGTATCTGGTACCAAACGCTCACCAACTGGTCCTGCAATTCCCTCACATTGCGAGGGGGTAGCGTGGCAGCACGAATTTGGTTTTCCAAGTAGGACCACAAATGCTCTATTGGATTAAAGTCAGGTAAATTTGGGGATCAAGACATGACTTGAAAGTCACTGGAATGTTCCTCGAACCAATCCATGACGATTCGACCCATATGACATGGTACATTATTCTGTTGGTAAACACCATCTCCCGCAGGAAAAACTGTTGCCATGAATGATGGGTGAACCTGATCTGCAACTATGTTCAAGTAGCTTACAGACGACAGGGATTGTTCTATGAGGATTATGGATCCTTATGTGCCCCATGGAAGCATTGTTCCTGGGCGAGAAACCATGAAAACCTGGGCGAGCCCATTGTTATAGATAGAGGGTGGTCATAATGTAATGGCTCTTCTGTGTATATGTTTGGTTCGCATTGGTTTTCTTTGCGTCTAGTTATGGCAAAAAATCAAGATCGCTTTATTTAGTTAAAACACACGTATTACCTCAGTACCTCTGTCTGTTCTTAATTCCTATATCCTAATATTTTGCTTTACTTGTAAGATTTTAATTAAAACTTAAAATGTGTTTATTTACGTAACTTTAATTTTTCTTTTCATACGTCTTTTTATCTATAGTTTGTCTATCTTCAATGCTTGGAAATATCAGGATTAGAATGGCATCCTTTCAGCATTTCAAAAGTAATATGTAGTTTGTAGTTTTAAACGTCACCAATTTTCACAAATATTAAAGTTGAATTTAATGACAAATAGTAACATTTAAATTTGTAACAGTTATATTGTGATTCTATCGCTAATAAACTTACAGTTCGCGCAGAGGTTCTTATAAAACTTATTTTACAAAAAATTTACCCTTGAAAAGGGATTCAAGATTCTAATTTATTCTGAAGCAACATTTTATGATATTATTGCTATATTGATGTCAAAAAAAGTTAAAATAAGCAAAATATTTCGAATTTTACGTATTTTTTAAATATTTTTTATTTTTTAATTTAAATATATTTTTAAAAAAATTTGCATAATTTTGAAGAATCTAATTTTACACGCCAAAATACAAAATTTGAATAAAATCCGTCAAATAGTTCCTGAAAAATGGAATTCAAATATATGTCTTTTTTAAAATTCAATTTTTTAGGAACTGTACGACCGATTTCGTTCACATTTTGTGGTTTGACATATAAAATTAAGTTCTTTAAAATTATGTAAAATATTGTATGCCTCACAATTCAAAATATTTTCGACTATGATTATATAAAATAATAAAAAACAGCAAATATTTATTAAAACATTTTTTATTAAATTATCTTTGGATAAACGAATTATATAATTGTGCACTAAAATTTTCAATTAGCTTACAAAATTCTCGAGATATACGAGATATAATACGTAAAAAGTAAAATTAACATTGAGGGGTCAAAACTCTGGACTGCTCTCATGACCAAACTATAGGTTAACTAAAGGTTCATTAAAAACGGTTTGTTTATTCAGGGAAAGTGAGCTGGAGTCTAATTTCGTAAATAAAAATATTGTCTGCACTAATTATTTAGCGTATTTGAAATCACACTCTCAAACCATTAAGATTAAGTCCTAAAACGTAAAGATCCGATCGTTAGATCAAAAATTATTTAGGATAGTCAGTTTATATATTTGCGCACTCTACACTATTTTATTATTGTTCTAATTGAATTCCAAGTTAACGTTTTTGAAAAAGGCTATTAGCTTTCTTTAAGTAACTTGAACATATAATTAATCAAGAAAGGAAGAAAACTCTTTCAATAATAAAAATTAAGTAAGTGCTATTTCAAATTTTGAAAATGGGCATGTGGACTACTAATTAGACAATTTGTCACTAAAATAATGAAAAAAGCATTAAACTACCATTAGTTGACTTCTTTGTCTGCTTTGTCTTATTTCATATGAAAAATTCAAAATTTTAATTACGTGGGAAGTAAAAATGAAATCTTTTTCAGTGCCCTTCACTTGAGGATACTTCATTTACCCTTCATCTTCGAACTCATGGTGATTGGGCTGGTAAGTATCGTATTAAAACTATATTTTAAGATCCACAAAAACTGCACAGACTCTAGTAAAAATCAAATTATAAGTACTTATAAAATTTGCATTAATAGCATGTAACCACTTGTATGTACTAAGGCTGTAAACTCCTCAAGTCGTAAACATATTTTTCTTTCAGATAAACTAAGACATCATTTATTTTGTGTCGCCAGTAAAATTACTGGAAAAAAATACGCATTCAACAAAATCAGATTAAAGGACACAGATTTAGTTTCATTAAATTGCAAGTAAGTGATACTATTCCTGGAAATTATTTTAAGTGTTGTTTTTTTGAAATGTCCGTGCAATTTTAAAGCATCTCCTTATTTTTAAATCCAATAAATAAACCTGAATTAAAAGAAACCCCAATACTTTATGCTAAATGCACTTAATTTTTCAGATTATTTTACTTATTTACTCTCACATTTTTAATAAAACTTCGGTAACTAAACGTACTAGTATGTATTTTTATTTATCTTTATGTAAGGTGTATATAAATAATTACAGCACGAAAAAAATTGGGTAAATTGTTTACCCGAAAAAAAAGTCACTACTCTTAATATCCATTATATCCCCCATGTTTGGATATGACTTGAAATGTACGTTTGTACCGTTTACCAGTTCCTGGCGGATAGTATTATCAATAAACTGTCTGTCCTTGTCCTACTAAAAGCAATTTGCGTTATAAAAGAATGAAAGAGTAGCTCATATTAAAATCTATCCACAAGTTAAAAATTGAAGAAGAAAAAAATATTTTTTTTTTCGTCTCAGAGGGGTTTCTATTGTCATCATAGCATGAGAAAAGAGGGGGATTTATTTTCCAAAGCACAACAAGGTGAATCCTCATTAACGGAGGTGAAAGATTTCGGCTATCTTCATAAACTTTACAATTAGCTTTTCAATTAGATTTGTAATTTTCTATGGTGTGAGAAATTAGATGCATCAATAAAATCTATAGCATATTATTTATTTATTTTATTTATTTATTCATTTATTTATTTAATTAATTATTTATTTATTATTATTTACCATTTATTATTATTCATTATTTATTATTATTTATTATTATTTATTATCTGTTCATTTATTTATATACACTATCGGTCAAAAGTTTGCGAAAATTTTGAAATCTGCAAAAAAAAGGTCTAAGTTCAAGTGCTCATAGAACTGCGAAAAATCATTCAAATTGCATGAAAATTTGGTATGTTCTAAAGTGAACCCTCTACAGTTAGTTACATATGATCAAATTGCAATACTTTGTTTTTTGCGAACTGAATCCAGCTTTTCATCATGGGTTGTTTTTATGGGGAAAAAAGTTGTTAAGTTTGAACACTTGCCAAACTTGCAAACTTGTACTTTCTGTTAATAGAAAATAGTTATTTGAGCCGTTCTATGTAAGCCCTCAAAATTTCAGATCGATTTGATTTTTTTTGACGAAGTTATAGAATTTTGAAAAACATGTGTATTTTTCTCGATTTTTGAGCATTCCACATATGCGGTCTTTTGGTCTATGCATCTTCTACCAAAAAACTTTTTAATTTTAATGCTTCCTATATTTTCAAATAATTAATATTGATTATAAAACAAATATCCTTATTCATTATTGTAATTATTGTTATTACAAAGAATTTATTATGAATATAATTAAAACAATATCTCAGGGATGTCACATTTCATCGAAAATTTGTTTGTTCTTGCAAACGATGCTCTGATATTTCGAATCGAAATCAGTTATGGAACATCTTACAACAGGAATGGAACTCTATATCACTTGAAGTGATTAATGGATGGTTAGAATGAAAGCCGCGCATATGTAAGGCTATAATAAAAGCAAAAGGTGGATGGTTCGAGGAATCTAAGATTTAAATGTTAATTTATTTAATTACAAAATACGAATAAGAATATGTTAAATATTTGACCTGTTGTAAATAAAATAGTTTAGTAAAAATGCAAATTTTTAATACTATTGTTATTTTTTTTTAGAATTGTTTATGTAATTTTTGTTATAACTTTTTATTTTAATTTAATGTAAAGTAAAAATATCACAACAAAACTAATACATAAAAGCAATAAATATAAACAATAATAATTACAATAAATGAGAGTATTTGTTTTATAATAAATATTAATTATTTGAAAATATAGAAAACATTAAAATTAAAAAGCTCTTTGGTAGAAGATGTATAGATCAAAAGACCGCATATGTGGAATGCTCAAAAATCGAGAAAAGTACACATGTTTTTCAAAATTCTATGACTTCGTCAAAAAAAATCGAATCGATCTGAAATTTTGAGGGCTTACATATAACGGTTCAAATAACTATTTTCTATTAACAGAAAGTACGGAAAATTTTTTTGCAAGTTTGGCAAGTGTTCAAACTTTAGAAATTTTTTCACTATAAAAACAATCCGTGATGAAAAGCTGGATTCAGTTCGCAAAAACAGAGTATTGCAATCTGATCATATGTAACTAAATGTAGAGGGTTCACTTTAGAACATATCAAATTCTCATGCAATTTGAATGATTTTTTACAGTTCTATGAACATTTGAATTTAGACCTTTTCTTTGTAGATTTCAAAATTTTCGCAAACTTTTGACCGGTAGTGTATCAGTTATTAATTTCAGCTTTTTAACTTACATTTTTAAGATGATGTTCGGTAAGAACAAAGAGAAAACTAAGCGATGAAAATACATTTAGGATATTATACTATTGCTATACGGAGACGCAATATAAAAATGACGCAGCATTTTGATCAATATACAAAAATATCCGATTTAAGAAAAATCCCGAAAATAAATGCTTTATTACATTTGAATTACAAAAATTAAACCGTTTTTGAGACATAGATGCAAATTTTTCGTTGTATGCCTATGTTACTGTGAATGACCGAAATTTGTGGTTGTTGACTTCCACCAGTAAATGTTGACAATCACATAGTCGTTTTGGTAAATGTCAGAAATATATTCTAGTTAATAAGACTTTATAAGAATTGTTAAGTGCCTCTGAATAAATATAATAATATCAACGAATAAATTAATATCAAAGTGGATATTTCGGACATTCACCAAAGCGACTATGAGATTGTTGACATTCACCGGTGAAAGTTGACATTCCTTTGATGTCTGTCATTCAAGGTAACACCTATACGTCCTTCAAAAATAAATAGTTTTTTTTACCCCATGAACTACAGTTCTACATGTAGTGAAAATTCACTCAATTATTTAATTTGAGGATAAATTCATAAACATTCAAAAATTTAATTAATTCTTGTATTTTCAATCTGTTGTAAAATTGCTTCCTTATTGTTATTGTTTTGAAACTAAATTAATCAATTGTTACAGATTTTTTATTGATGGACCCTATAGCAGCAGCTTTGAAGAAGTTTTACATTATTCTGTGAGCATTTGCGTTGCAGGTGGTATAGGATTTACACCTTTTGCTTCTGTATTAAGTTATTTAAGGTTCGTTTATGAAAAGAGCATTTTTAAATAAGTTTTATTATGAGAAATTATTAAAGCTCGAAAACGTTTCATTTGTTTAAATTATTGAGTATTTATATCTTTAAATATTTGGAAACAAAAACTAGTGATATTCATTTATTTTAATTTATTTATTTACTTCTTTTTATTTTCATTTATTTATTTACTTCCTTTTATTTTCATTTATTTATTTATTGTTTAAGTGTTTAAATTAAGTTGCTTATTTCAAATGTAACATTCTTATACTATTCAATTATATTTATGTTGTTTTTTTTAACATGTAAATCTTTTCTTTACGTTTTTGATAATATCTGAAGTTTCCTTTTCTTTTTTCTTCTTTTTATCTTTGTAGCTAAATTAAAAATATCAAATAAAATATTTAAAAAAAAATTGAAAAATAACAAATCCCCCAGAAATGTAAATCGTGCAAACTTGTTAAAGAATTAATTTTCGATAAAATAAAAAAAATATTCCTGTAGTATCTTACAGCTTTGAAACACTTAAATTTTCAACTTAGGCAAATTTAAACTATTCAACACTAGAAAAGTTTATAAAATTTACTCCATTTCTATTTAATTTTACATTTTTTTTATAACCGAAATAACACATTTTTGCTTTTAATTGTATCTTTAATAATTATAATTTCTTTATATCCTTGCAGAATTGATGTGAAAAGCTTAGAAAAAACCAAACGGCTGCATTTTTTCTGGGTTTGTAGAGACCTTGAATTATATAAATGCTTTTCAACCCTCTTATATGAAACATTTGAACAAGTATGCTTTTTTTATTTTTTGTATTACTTTGAATGTTTAGTACTATTTAAAGTTATCCAAATAACTATTTAAAACTAATTATTCAATAATGTAGTTAACTTAAGCAATTTAATTGAGTCTGGCTTACTTCTTCATCTTTTATAGGTTATTTATATTTATTTATTTAATTTTATCATTATTGATAAAGTGTTTGTCTATATAGTATATTTGTGACGGTAAACGGTTCCATTTATATCCTCGTTATTTTAAGTCCCAACACGGGTAAAAAGATAATTCTTTGGTCAATATTGATTTCATGGGTGTAGTGTATCAACCACTACAAAAATACAATCCCAATTCACTAGTATATAAGACATGTTAACTCCATTCTATGTCGGGGTACCTTTATATAGACGAAGGTTGACATAGTCGATAACAGCTCACCCCTCACAATGGGAGGCGAAAAAAGTCGTATTTTTAAAATCCGATTACATAGGAATTGTTTGATCGATTTCACTCAAATTTTGTATTTTGCCATGTGAAATTACATTCCTTAAAATGATCTAAAAAATTGCATACATAACAGTTCAAACTTTTTAGATTATTATTAAATAAAATAATGAAAATTAATAAATACTTTTGTATGGAATTATCTTTGGATTAAAAAAATTATAATTCTGTACAAAAAATTTCCAACTCGTTTAAAAACGTGCAGAGATAAGGCGAAATACTCCTAAAGTAAAATTAACATTAAGGGACCCAAACTTTGGACCGTTCTCCTGATCAAACTATGGAGACCATATTTCCCAGATTTGAGCTACCTCCTATATTTTAGGAGTCAGAAATCCGACTCCGTCGAAAAAAAAGGCATGTTTATTCAGAGAAAGTCCATTTTTGTGTCTTATTTCTTAACTTAAAACATTGTCTATTCTAATTAATTAGCATATTTGTGATCACCCCCTCGAATCATTAGGATTGATTCCTAAAACGTGAAGATCCGATCATTAGATCGAAAGTTATTCATGCTGGACTGTTTTTTTATTTTGCGCCTTATACAACTGGGTATCTCTTATGTCAGTAATGTGATGAAAGTTAGGCCAAGATTAGTGTTCGAGCCTGCACTGCTAGAAATTCTAGAGAGTGTTTTACAGCTAAAATGACCCATTTTATCATATTTCTCATGCTTAGTTACATGAGTCTATAGTTCAATTTGAATAGAATCATGACTCAATTTAATATTTTATTAAGTTTTCAGCAAATCTGGTCACTGTAATTTATCAATAATATGGTTCAGTGTTGTATTGATTTTTTCTGAGAGTATACGTTTTTTGCCTTTGATTCGAACCTTGGTCGCTTGTCCAGAAAAAAGCATTACATCCACTGAACCATATAAATCATCATCATACATAATTGACATAATGGATCCATTATGTACATCATAATGTACGTCATCCATTCATGTACGTCATCCATTATGTACATCCCGTACATAATGGATGACGGATTAATTGCGGTTACAAAAATCAGAGTCATTTGGGCCAACAAGATTATTTCGCCAACAAAATTATTGTTGGCACTGTAATATTTTAGCAAAATCTTTTTCATTTCAAATATTCTCTTACAGTGGATCCCTGTAACATGAGTTACACTTGGATATGCGTTAGAAAGTTCCATGAGAGCCCAAATCAATTTACATTTTAAATTCACTAGGTTCATCGTTTCTTTTTTATTTGCTTTTTCAAACATTTTCTTACTTAAAAAACTTAGCAAAGTTTTAAAAAAATCAACTTAAAATTTATTAAGAAAATAAGAAAAAATCACCAAGATTTAATAACTAAATTTTTTAAGAAATAACGAATTTGAAAAAAAAATCTATTTTCTCGATCCGTAAAAGGAACGAAAATTTAGTGTTAATTGAACATGCTCTGGTCTAAAATGAAAGGAAAAAGCTTGCTTATCCCTTGTAACTTGCATGATAGTAATGAAAAATAGAAATAACCATTCTTAAGCCTTAACCATACATTTTCCTGATTTTTCTAAATTGCGCTTTTTTATATACTTAGAGAATTAAGAATTCAAATCCACACATTAGGAAAAAAGTATGTTTATTCAGAGAAAGTTTACTTTTATGTTATAGGTTTCAGGGTGATTCTACAGCGTAAGGACAATTAGAAATAATAATTTTGCTCAAATTTTTCCATGAATATGGATAAAATTATTTTTATGTATTCTCATGTGGTGATAAAATATTTCTGATATCGATATATATTTGAAAGAAAAAAGATTTTTGAAGAAAAATTATTAATTTCTTGCGTCACATGAGGGATATAACCATGGAATCATTATTTAACTTTATCAGTGGTCAGATTAATATTAATTAGTATATATTAATGGATCACCACAAATCCAAAGGAAAAGAAATATCATTAAAAAAAACTTTGGGTAAGTCGAAATGTGAGACAGCGTAATAGAGAGGCAAAAATTTATGAAATCGAAAAGTCTGGATGTGATCGATTCCAGATATATATATATATATATATATATAATTTAATTAACACACATTATCTACTTTATATTTTATTTTTCTTTTGCGTTATTTTTTCCCCTGCTGAAAAAAGTTACGTTCAATTTTAAATTTTATTGTATTTTGCGCATTGCTTTTATACTTAAAGCGTTCTTGTTCTTATACATGGCTTACTTCTATGCGCCNAAATAGTTATTGACAGTTTTGGAGCAATTAAAAATAAATTCAGGTGCAGCAGCCAAAGAAGATGCTTAAAATGAAAAAAACCGCAGAATTTCAACTGCTATTCTAAAAACATAAGAGGCGTCATATGAGGGTAGATCAACAAGAAAAACGTCGAGAATAGCACTTGAGGTTGCTGAAAATGACGGAGAAGAAGCATCTTATAGACTCTGTATTGATACACTATAGTTAATCGCAAAATTTTATATATTTATATGAATAATCGATCACAAAACTCTACAAGCAGTTTACTACTCGAAACTATGTTTCTCTAACTTGCTGCAACTCCAACTAGTACAGTTTAAACCGATTTACTTCAAATTTTGACGCAATGTTCATAATAAATATAGATTTTGTTACGAGCAAATATGTTTTTAATTGGGTTGACTGGTTTTGAGTAATCCACGAAAATGTAACTTATTCTATGTCATTTTGTAATAATTTTTTTTTCAAAACTCCGCTATTTTTGACTGAAAAGAAAATTTCTTTTAAATCCTACTTGTAACAAAAACTACATTCATGTAGGTTAAAAAAATTAAAGCATTGAAAAAATTATTTTTTTCTACTTACGTGTATAGCAAGCTATGAATAAACTAAAGCAAAAAGCAACGTAAATAAATTGCAAATGAAAATACATAAATGATTGGATTTTGACACAATATTCACAAACGAAATGTTTGAAGTTATGGATAATTCAAAAAATAAGTTATAAACATTGATGTAAGTGCTTTTTTTTTTAAAAAAAAAAAAATTTATTTTTAACTTGATAAATTGAAGATTAAAATATGCACAGTGGGATTTAAAAAAATTCATTAAGTGTATCATGACCATTGCAAAACTTATTAAAAATATCCTTCTTTTTTACACTTTTGCTTTGTGTTGCTCTTTTAAAAGCAAGGTTTAATGTATTGTAAATTCAGTTGATTTGTTTGTGTACTATTTAATATATAAATTTTTTATGCAACAAAATGGTTGTACGCAAATAATGGTTATTAATATTTCGGAGCGTAAATATTATGGAAAAAAATTGAAGAAAATGTTTTTTTTCTGGCTGCAGGAGAATTTTTTTTAACCTGTATTAGATACTTTCGTATCTCTGATTTCAAATCTGCAATAGGCTTCTCTCGGCAAGCTGCAGTTTTTTTTTTAAATGACATTTTTACTGACATTTTTTGTCGAAAAGTACAGATTTCAAAACGTTATATAAAGCAGGGGGTCGCATAAATGTTGCAACAAACTTCTAGAGAAGTTAGGACACATAATTAGGATGGATTAAAATTCCATCGTAACCAATGCCCGTAAATATCATCCTATGCAGCTAGAGGCGCTTCCCTATTATATTATGGATGCCTATGCGAACTAGGATCCTATATTATGGATGCCTATATATATTGCACTGGAATTAAGATTCTTCAAGATGTGTGAACACCTCGTTCACTTGTATAAAAAGAGAAAATGTCTTAGTTTACTTAACTCAAAGAAGGCTCATTCAAAACGACTTAAGAGATTTGAAATAATGGCTACTGTGAAGTACTTAGGGAAATAATGGTCAAATTTTAGTGCTGCATTAAGTGTGTGCTTATTTTGAAGAAAAAAAATTATCATACTGTTTATCTTATCCAATCCCAATCCCATGTTAAGATATACATCCCGAACTCAACTGCAAATTTTAAGTAAAAAAAAAATTAGATTTTTTTAATATGTAAGTCATCATTAATCCTATTGATTACTTATTCATAAATAGCTTCTAAACTGTTATATTTTTAGGTTAGAAATTCTAGTCCTGATAAATTTGAATTTCATTTATACTTTACTCAGCAAGGCTCGTGGGACATTATTAAAGTAAGTATTCGTTATTCTAATAATATTATTGTTAATAGTAGTTTGTAATTTGCATTATAATATTATTCATAGACTCATATGTAATAGAGTATCTAAGAGCTTGCATTCAAGACGATCCAAATGGATCTTAAGTATGGGAGATCCTAAAAACTTTGAGATATAATCCTTTGTAACATATTATAAGCAGGGTTGCAAAATAAAAAATAATAAAAAATCATCAGGCTGAAATGTTATCTAAGAAACCCAAATGCAATTCCATGAACAGCATTTTGGAGAAAAAAATTTTAGTTAATTATATTATATTGTCATTTTCTGGATCATCTTCAGCATTAGCCTCCTTTTTCTATTTCAAATGCATATTATTTCAATTTTATAAAAGAATAAATTTTTCAGTATCCCTTTTACACTGTAAAAAATTCCGGACCAAAAAGTACCGGCATACAGGTACTTTTTACCGTAATATCCATTTTTACCGGAACATGTCACGGAACAAAAAATTGACCATACCGTAATTTTTACAGTAATAATCACCGTAAAATCACTGAATCACTCGAATTAAATAAATATTAATGTAAAAATTACAGTATAACATTTCACGGGAAAAATGGCTTTTACGGATGATGCACCCACAACGCCGGTACTTTATACCGTAATTTGATTAGGAATTTTTTGCAATGCACCGTTATCATATTTTATTTATTTTTACTTTCTATCTAGAAAGCATTTACTAGGTTTTGGTCTTGATTCCAATTTAAATAGATTTAGAATTTTAATTTATCAATGTCTCACCCTTATTAAATGTTTTAAAGAATAAAAAGTAAGGGGACCTCCTTTTAATTACATGCATGAAGTCAAGGAATTTTGAGGATTTTTATTTCACTTTTGCTATGTCTTTGCCTTTGGGAATCCTTTCTGGTCTTTCTATGATATATCTTTTGAAGAATTTTAAACATATACGTACGCAAAGTTCTTTGTATTAATGGTTATATTTAAATAATCAAATTTTAATTCTTTTATAGGATGCTTTAGGAGAATCATATCCATTTCTGAAGCCACGAATCAAGCTAGGAAAACCTTGTTGGAACTTTTTATTCGAACAGTGGGCCATTATTTATAAAAAGTAAATTTCCTTTTCATTTTTTTTTAATTTATTAAGAAACTTCTTATGACCAGGATCTAGCATTTGTATTCTATACATTATTTTGTTTTGAGAAGGAACAAACACAGAAAAAATTTCAAAAAATGTATGAAAATCTTATGACAGTTTTCGATAGTTCATCTTTTTAAGAATATTGTTCCGAAATATTAAGTTGATTTTAGTAAAAATTTAAAAGTTAAAGCTTAATATATCGAGCGCGGCACGCAACACAAGACGCGCTATGACATGTATGAGCCAGTAAACTTGAGTGTTCAGTTGATGAAATGGATTTTCTCACTCCTATCAAAACATTTTTGTGAGCCGTGATGGCTCAGGGGATAGAGCACTCGCCTCCCATTGAGGTGATCCGAGTTCGAGTCTCAATGGTGGCTGGTCATTACAAATTCCCCATCCGGCTCGCACCGACCACAGTGCTGACGTAAAATATCCTCAGTGGTTGACGGATTATGGATAAGCGTCCCCTTGCCGTCAAGCTAGCCATGGGAGGTTTTAGTGGTTTTCCTCTACATGAAACGCAAATGCGGGTCAATCCAATTAAAAAGGCCTTCAAGAAGGTGAATTTTTCCCAATACTTGATCCCGGAGTTCTCTTGTCTTCTGGATAAAATTCAAAATCACAAGGCTGTGGATAGTTGAACATTGGTAGTAGTAAACTCGAAAATTGGGTCGGTTGTTCAACGATGGTTACAAACAAAAATAAATAAAAAACATTTCAGTAAAATGCTATCATTTTAACTATTTTGTTGAAATAATTTGAATAAATTATGTACAAAAAGAATTAATAGTACTTTCAATATAAATAGTTGAAATTGCAACTGATTGAGCTGTAATATTTTTTGATGAAGGTTACAAATAGTTATTGACAGTTTTGGAGCAATTAAAAATAAATTCAGGTGCAGCAGCCAAAGAAGATGCTTAAAATGAAAAAAACCGCAGAATTTCAACTGCTATTCTAAAAACATAAGAGGCGTCATATGAGGGTAGATCAACAAGAAAAACGTCGAGAATAGCACTTGAGGTTGCTGAAAATGACGGAGAAGAAGCATCTTATAGACTCTGTATTGATACACTATAGTTAATCGCAAAATTTTATATATTTATATGAATAATCGATCACAAAACTCTACAAGCAGTTTACTACTCGAAACTATGTTTCTCTAACTTGCTGCAACTCCAACTAGTACAGTTTAAACCGATTTACTTCAAATTTTGACGCAATGTTCATAATAAATATAGATTTTGTTACGAGCAAATATGTTTTTAATTGGGTTGACTGGTTTTGAGTAATCCACGAAAATGTAACTTATTCTATGTCATTTTGTAATAATTTTTTTTTCAAAACTCCGCTATTTTTGACTGAAAAGAAAATTTCTTTTAAATCCTACTTGTAACAAAAACTACATTCATGTAGGTTAAAAAAATTAAAGCATTGAAAAAATTATTTTTTTCTACTTACGTGTATAGCAAGCTATGAATAAACTAAAGCAAAAAGCAACGTAAATAAATTGCAAATGAAAATACATAAATGATTGGATTTTGACACAATATTCACAAACGAAATGTTTGAAGTTATGGATAATTCAAAAAATAAGTTATAAACATTGATGTAAGTGCTTTTTTTTTTAAAAAAAAAAAAATTTATTTTTAACTTGATAAATTGAAGATTAAAATATGCACAGTGGGATTTAAAAAAATTCATTAAGTGTATCATGACCATTGCAAAACTTATTAAAAATATCCTTCTTTTTTACACTTTTGCTTTGTGTTGCTCTTTTAAAAGCAAGGTTTAATGTATTGTAAATTCAGTTGATTTGTTTGTGTACTATTTAATATATAAATTTTTTATGCAACAAAATGGTTGTACGCAAATAATGGTTATTAATATTTCGGAGCGTAAATATTATGGAAAAAAATTGAAGAAAATGTTTTTTTTCTGGCTGCAGGAGAATTTTTTTTAACCTGTATTAGATACTTTCGTATCTCTGATTTCAAATCTGCAATAGGCTTCTCTCGGCAAGCTGCAGTTTTTTTTTTAAATGACATTTTTACTGACATTTTTTGTCGAAAAGTACAGATTTCAAAACGTTATATAAAGCAGGGGGTCGCATAAATGTTGCAACAAACTTCTAGAGAAGTTAGGACACATAATTAGGATGGATTAAAATTCCATCGTAACCAATGCCCGTAAATATCATCCTATGCAGCTAGAGGCGCTTCCCTATTATATTATGGATGCCTATGCGAACTAGGATCCTATATTATGGATGCCTATGTTTCTTCGTGTGTTTCTGAGCAAGTCATAATATGGAAGCATTTCAGCGAAAAATAGACTAAAAATATTATTTTTTTAGAAAATCTGTAGTCTTAGAAGCACGTCTAAATTGAAATCCTAACACCCGAATTATGCAAGATCAAGTATATTTATATAAATGCGGCAAAACATTTGTTCTCTAGTGCTATTGAAAAATATATTCTAAAACTTATGTAATTTTTCTCATTCTCATGTATAATACTTTTTATATTTCAGGGCTGATATTGGCTTGTTTTGCTGTGGACCGGAAAATTTAGGAAAAAATATTCAATATTTCAGCCAGAAATGGAGCAATAAAGGTTGCCACTTCGCATTTCATAATGAAACATTTTAGTAATTTTTTTTTTGATATGAGACGTAATAAAATGTTTTTTGCTTTAAATAATGGATGTTTATAATATTTGTTTGTTACCTAGTCCAAATTCTTAGATGTGAATAGAGTGGTACTTTTTTGCGGAGAAAAATAAATGTTTTTTTTTTCTTTTTCAGCGCTCTTTGCATGGTATGACTGACATTAATTAAAAGGCTTCGGGCTGTAAAATGATAAGCCACATTTTTTTCAAAGATAACATTTTCCCATCAAACTGCTCCTTGGTGCTATTTCCAGATAAGCTTCTAAAATCTCCCCTAGATAACAGTACACGGAAACATCTTATTTCCTGCATAGAAATTGTTGTATTTCTCTTCAAAAATATTGGGTTGTTCGGAAAGTAATTTCATTTTTCGTTGGGAAAATGAAAGACAATTTTCGTATAATGAATAAATATTTTATTAAAATATATATTGGTCATTCTGATCCAACACCTTTTGCCATCTTTCTGGTAGTAGCATGATTCCACGCTCATAAAATTTTTGATCTTTGCTGGCAAAAAACTAATCCAGGTGATTTTAGACCTCGTCATTTGAAGTAAAAGTTTCACAGTCCAAAAAATTTTGCAGTGACCAGAACAAATAATAATCCGAAAGCACGCCAGATCTAGAGAATATGGTGGGTGTTGCAGTGTATCCCATTCAAGCTGTAAAAGCTTTTGGTGAATGACTAAACTTGTATGAGGTCTCGCATTATCTTGGTGGAACACTAAACCTTTTCTGTTGATTAATTCTGGCCTTTTCTGTTGAAGTGCATCATTCAGTTTGTTAAGCTGACGACAGTAGACTTCCGAATTAATTGTTGTGTTATCCGGTAAAAGCTAAAAACAATCCTTTAAAATTCCACCAAGCAGACAGCATCACCTTTTTTGATGGATATTGGCTTTCGAAATACTTTGAGCCGGTTCATCTTTTTTGCTCCATGATCTCTTGCGTTTGACATTGTTATAGACAACCCATTTTTCGTCCCCAGTAATGATATGCTTCAAAAATGGATCATTTTCGTGACGTTTGAGAAGCGAATCACAAACCTTAACCAATTTCTCTCCGTGAGAGCATGGGGAACCCACATATGTTATCTAGCTTCAAGGTTAAACCCAGGCCTTTCAAATGATCATAAACAGTTGAATTCGATAAATTTAACCTCTCACAGATCTCACGTGTTGTTAGTTATAGATTTGCATCAACTAATGCCTTTATCGTGCCTTTATCAGCTTCAACCAGCCTTCCAGAACGTGGTACATCTTCGACATCAAAATTGCCATATCGAAATTTTGCAAACCAGTTCTGGCACCGGCGTACTGTCAACTCATCTTCTCCATACATATCGGTTAATTTCTTTCTGGTATGAACAGCATTTTTTCCTTTTCTACAGTAAAAAAGTAAAATAGGACGAAAATGCTGCTTATTGCTCTCCATATTTAAAAGGGCACCAACCAAAAACTACTGCTTGGAATTAATTGAACATTTTCACCCACAAGCCTTGCTATATCAGCTCTCAAAACATATAATGATAATGCGGCTTAAGGGTGAAGTTGGGTTCGAAAAAATGCAATCAAATCCTCTGTCGAAGAAACGAAATTACTTTCCGAACAACCCGATACTTTTAAAAGGCATTTTATTGAGTAATTTGAAAAATGTGGCTCTTCATCGCATTACCCAAAGCCATTCATCTCTTTTACAGTGCTTGATGTTAAGATGGTGAAATATTGATCTCTTTGTATTATTTATAAATAGAAAATAATTTTCTGTTTGTGAAAATTTGATGACTTCTTATCAGGGAAATATTTCGATACATACCCATTTGGTGCTAAGATATATGAGACATAAGAACAACTTCACAAAAAAAAAGAGATTGTTTATTTTAGTTGTGACAAATTTTGAACATTTGGTGTCAATTTTAGATGGTCCTACAATCAAAGAATTGTGTCAAAGCACAGGCATGACAGTGGAACTGCCTAATTCTTTTTTTTTCCTGTTGAATATTTCACTTTTTTAGATTCAAAATTCTTTGTTTAGGAGCAGAACACCCCTTTTTAGTGAACTAATCATAGTACTTAATTGTTTTTAAATGAACCTTGCAAATATTGTTTAGAAAATATTTATCAATTCAGTTACAACTTACAAAGTGATCAAAAAGTAATAGCTGATGGCATTGACTTGTAAAAAAATAGCAGAAAAAAGCTTTCAATTCACTGCCCATTATTTTTTTTAAATTTATTTGCTTAAAAAAGAGGCAACTTAGACTGGTGTTTTAGATTATATATAAGAGTTTAATGCTGCGACCCAGGCTCAGAGGTCTATATGCCAGAAGACATGATCCGACGTGCGGGAGCACACCCGCAACAGCGGAAGAGTACCAATCAATACGTGGCACTAATGCACAAGGTCCCGAGCCATGCACGAGAAGAACACCACATTCAAAAAATGCGAGCACAAGACTCATGATCCAAAAACCACATGGCAGTGATGTCAAACCAGCTGCAGAAATAGACAAACAGTTCGAGAATAGATTATATTTTTAAAAAATTTTCACGTAATAGAATTGTTTTTCCATTATGTGAAAAGCAATGATATTGTGTGTTTGCTTAAACTTGCAATTTGACATCTTAAACTCTAAAAAATTGAGACTGTTTTAATAACAGGACTAACGTTTGATCAAATGAATATAATGACGTAAAAAGCTTTATTTTTTATTTATTCTGTTTGGCATTTGGGTGATTTTTATTTCAAAAATTCATAACTGTGACTCTAATATTTTTCTTTTATTTAAAAAATACATTTTGGATAATGTCTAAAAAAATAGTTTTTTTCCATTTATGAAAATTACTTGTTTATAACAAGAATTTAAAACAACAATGTAAAAAATTTTGGTGTGTAGTTTCCACCATTTTTATTGGTGAGGTAAACTAAAATTTTTTGTCATGCATTCGTCACATTTTTTCTTTATTTTTTCACTGTTACAGTTTTATTTATTTATTTATTTATATTTTGTTTGTTTACGAACAACACATGTTTTCATGCATATTAGAATTAATTTAATAGCTTCACTGCAAAAACATTTCTCTAAAAAAAAACACATTTTTAGTAATAAATTCGCACTAATTTTTCCAAACAATCATTTTTTTGTCTATTTTCTATAATTTTTTTGCATGATAACTACAGTTCTGTGTACTTAAGAAAGTATTTAGTTTACCTCAACACCGAAACTAATGACAACTATAAACCAAAATTTTTTACAGTGTATTTAGCGTTTTTTTCTATTAATTTTTTTCTGATTTTCAAAATTCACCTAAATTAAATTTCAAGCTCTAAACTGTAACTAAATAATAAAAAAATTTATTTGAGCAAACTTTCTTTGATAAAAATATATTTGGCAGACATTTATCAAAAAACGATTTAGTATTCTTCAGAGTAGTCATAATCATCTTCAGTTTGCATTGTACTTGACACATATGTGATTGTTGTTGGTTCTTGGACTGAAAGTTTTTCCAAAAGTTCCTTGCAATATGAATGAGTTGTCACATTTAGTTCATTCGAAATGACGTCACCATCTGTATCCACACAGAAGCATTTGGCATTGCGAACACACTGAGTGATATTGTAATTTCCATATTTATTACATTTAAGTGCAGGGTACTGAGCATGCATTGCTGCTTTTTCATTTTCTCTTGCACAATCTGGAATTAAAATTAAGTAATCATTTCTTACATATACAATGCATTTCGTTTACAACGCTATAAATAAATTTCATTTAAATTTACAAATTTATGCTAAGTATTTAATGTGTTTCTTAAAAAAAACGCTTTTATGCATACTTGTATGTGTATGTTCTGTATACATGCACGCATTGGTATGTGTTGTGTATTTAAGCTTTATTTCTTGCATATAGAAGGTATTGCGTAATCTTCGCCATTAACGCATTTATGCTAAGTTTTTAATGTGTTTCACACACATTTATGTTTGTATGCATGCGTATGTTTTGTATGCATACATGCATGTGTATGGATTATGCATTTATGCATTATTTTTTGTGTACTCAAGTTATTGTTGTATCAATAAAAGTTATTTAAATTAACTCATTTATGCTAAGTGTTTAATGTGTTTTTAGAAAAAACACATTTATACATGTATGCGTGTGCATGTTATGTATGGTCTGTATGCATGGGTGCAAGTGTATGTGTGATGCATTTATGCATTATTTCCTGCATACACGAAGTATTCCGTAATCACCGCTATCAATAAATGTTATTTAAATTAACACATTTATGCAACAAAAATAACTATTTCAAATTCCAACAATCACTATTGTATAAGAGAACATCAAAACAAATTTGTTTATGCGGAAAAAAAGAGAGAAGTTGAAAGGCAATAAACTAGACACATTTTCAAGTTTCTAGCAGCAATTAAACTGGTTTTGATTCATTATGCCTTTAAAGATAAATCTAACTCAATACAGTGACAGAAATTTTGCAAAAGTGACAAAATAGTAATTTACGTCTAAGCATTTAGTTTGGTTTTTAATGTCGGACAAAAAGTACACTAATATGCTATTAGCGACGCGAAAGGTACAGTAATGGGTTATTAACACTAATGGGCTAGGGTTCTTCCTTAGTGATGATTAGTATACAATAATACCGTTTTTCACGCAATACATTACCTAAATTTAGATAGGAGGACAGATGATGGTAGTGATCAGCCGACCTCCACACCACGCTCCCGAACCACCTAATCATACCAAAGTACCATAGACATTACATTAGAGTAGGTTCCGAACCACTAAGAAACACTACGAGAAAGTGTAGACGAATTGTTATTTTTTTGAAAAAGGAGCATTAAAAAACGGTTATTTTTGCTTGGTCTTCGAGGGAATTCAGTTGGTTTTGAAACTAAATATAGCAACCAAGGAAGCAGCAGGAATTTTTTTAAAAAAAGATCTCATTGATATTCCTGAAAGGTATTTTTCAGAAAAAAATCAGACAATCGTTTCTTTTTCCTGTAACTCAACTGAAAAATAAAATTTATCATTAAGGAAATTCTTATTATCCATGACATCAAGAGACATCGATGACATCATTAAAGAAATTCTTATTATAGATGGCATCATTACTGACAGAAATATTGCTTAAGATCCTTCAAACCATAAGAAAACCGGAAAATTCAACGAACTTAGCCCATAACATCATCGAAATATTCTATGCAGGGTGTTTCATGATGAAGTAAAATAAAATATAATCCATAAGGGGTCACAAATTAATAATTAAACTAGGAAGAAACAAAAACACTATCAAATCACACGGGAAGTCTGGATGAAAAACATCAAAACCAGCTTTTTTCAGCAAGATTTTGTACCACTTTCCTCAATAATGATTCGTTAGATTTTTTTAGCGTTTTTACTTCGTCCTCACTTAAATATTAATTTGTGACCCCAATTGCATATGATTTATTTTACTCAGATAACTACGAGGAGTCTGAAAACAAATATTATGGGTAGTGATTAAGGAACACACACAATTCAGAAAAAGAAGGGGAAAAAAACGGTAAAAAGTTCAAAAGTCTGAGTTAAAAAGTTTACTTCGTAATACTTTACGTTATCGACTTTATGTATATACAGTTCAAACCACTCTGACCACGCTAAGTGACTTTTGATCCAATGATCGGATCTTCATGTTCTTGGACTCAATCTTAATGGTTCGAAAAAGTGATCTCATAGATGTTAACTGATTAATACAGAAGATATTTTAAGTTACGAAATTAGACACAAAAACGTACTTTTTCTGAATGAACATACTTTTTTTTCGATAGATTCCGATTTCTGACACCCAAAATATAGGGGGTAGCTATAATGTTGAAAATATGGACCAAATAGTTTAGTCTGGGGAGCGGTCTAAAGCTTATTCCCTTAAATGTTAATTTTACTTTTTGAGTATTTCACCATACCTCTAGAAATTTTTAAGTGAATTAAAAGATTTTTGCGCAAAATTATAAAATTCATTTATCCAAAGGCAATTTCATGCAAAAAAGAATTTTTTTTCAGTAAAGATTTATTATTTTTTATTATTTTATTTAATAATAGTCGAAAATATTTTGAACTGCGAGGTATACAACTTTTTACATCATTTTAAAGAATGTAATTTTACATGGCAAAACGCTACATTTGAGCGAAATCGTTGAGTATTTCCCGAGAAATTGAATTTTAAAAAAGTCATATTTATAAGTCGTAGTTTTCCAAAATCCGTCAAAAAAAAGGCATGTTTATTCAGAGAAAGTAAGTTTTTCTATCTGATTTCGTAACTTAAAATATCGTCCGCACTTATTAGTTGGAATATTTGAAGTCAGCTCTTCGAACCATTAAGCTTGAGTCCTAGAAAGCGAAGATTCGATCATTAGATCAAAAGTTATTCAGGATGATCTGTTTCTTATTTGCCCACTTCGTTATATTAACCCACTAACACCTAAAGTCAGTTTTAGGGATAATTCTGAAAATTCATCATTATCTTACTCAGGTTATTTTAAGCTTAATTTTTTCAAGTTTTCTTTAAAACATTGTAAATAGCATACTTATTCCAGATTCCTGTTTATTAATAGATTAAGTATGCTTGCATTTGGTTGAAAGTCTAACCTTTATTTTAGTCTCTCTCACTTTTTTTTTCTTTTTTTTCTAACGCTAAAATAGTTATTTGCAATATCAAAAAAAGGAATAATTACTTTATTTATTTGCATTAAAAAATATGACTGCTGAGTTGAGAGACATTTTAATAAATTTAGAAAAGGCAATCTTAGAAAATATAACATCAGCAGGAAGCTAATTTAAAAACACATTTTCTCATTAAAAACTACTGTCATACTTAATGACCTGCTGACGGAAATTTCGTGCTTTTTCAAAATATCATTTGTCACCATCATTCACTAAGCTCTTTAATTATATGATTTCTTTTTGTCTAGATAATTTAAAATTTTGATCATTTTTCCCCTTACGTTTCTACATTTTGAAACAGTTTCAATTAAGATCAAAAACTATTCAGACAGAATTTTATAGTAGTTGATATTTATAATTTATATACAAACTTTTAATGAAAAACTGTGGTTCTTGCATCAATAGATTTTATTTTATTACCGGCGCTGAACCGTCGACCCAATTCTGAGTTTACGACTAACCATATTCCACTCTGTAGCCTCGTAATTTTGAACCCAACCCAGTAGACAAGGGAGTTCTGGGATAAAGCATTGGGACAAACTAGCCTTCGTGGAGGAATTTTTAATGAAACTAACCCACATTTGTGTTACATGGAGAGAGGAAAATCACGAAAAACCTCCCCCCACAGTTATCTAAGAAGATTCTAACTCATGATCCGTTTACCACTGACCATATTTTATGTAAGCACTGTGGACGGTGGGCGTCAAAATTTTAAAGACATATTTCAATTGTGTAAAAGTATACAGTTTTTTTTCTGTTTATTTATTTGACTCAATTTAGGATGAGTTGATGTGCACACCTCTTAAAACGCGTAATAATCTGTAGATATGATAGAAGCGTTAATTTTCCTTTAATCCCATCCTTATTATTATTATTTTGTTGAAATAATGTCGTCGATGAGCTAAAAAAAAATATGGACTAGTAAATGTTTTAACAAAGTTTCCACGTCTTAAACTAATATATGATACAATCTTTTCAACTAAACAAAAAATATACAAACTTTTGAATTTAATATAGTTCATGAACGAGAGTGTTTAGTACCCAACATTTAAAAAAAACAGTCAATCCTATATACAGTTTTTGTTTAATTAGTTGTTTAATTAGTTTTGTTTAACCAGTTTGAAAAGTTTTGATTTGAATAAAAAGCGCACAAGCCGTTGCATTCTCATTTGTTAGAGAGCAATTTATTGTTCCAATGGCTTTAGCTTTGTTAATTTTTGAACATCAATTTAATATTTAGGATTTCCATTTTTGGAAGTTAAATAACTGATAAAAAAAAATTTTTAACTTTTAGCTTAGTTTCTCGTTGGTTTTCATTACCTTTCGTTTCGATGGCTCTTTAATAGCAGTAATATTATTTAAATAAATACATTTATAGCTATAAAACTAATTCAAATCGCATACCACAGTTCATTTCAATTGATTCTAAACTATCTGCCGTAAAATAACTTCTAATTTCTAATTTATCTTTGTTAATTTTTGGAACATCAATTTTATATTTAGGATTTCTATTTTTGAAGTCAAATAACTGATTAAAAAAATTATTTTAATTTTTGCCCTAGTTTTTCATTGGTTTTCATTACCCTTAATTTTGATGGCCCTTTAATACTAGTCAATTATTTAAAAAAATACATTTAGAGCTATAAAACTAATTCAAATCACATACCACAGTTCATTTCAATAGATTCTAAAATATCGGCTGTAAAATAACTTCTAATTTCTATTCCTTCTTCATCTGTGCAAGAGCATCTGTTGAAAAACATTTAATTAAGAAAATTCTTCAACTGCAGAATAAATTTCATGTTATTTTTCGAAAAATTTCAAGCTTTATGATTGCGTCAAATTCATTTTGCCATTCTAGCCAGCAGTTTTAAGGGATCTGCGGTGCAGTGAAAAAACCTTAAAAGAAACTCAGAAGTTTAAAAAGTATTTGAAAGATGGAGTTTAAACTTACATGTTTTGTGAGAGAACTCCACAAAAATTGAATTACAGTAAAGTTTCTTTAAAATTGAAAGACTTTTAATATTTTATAGATAATAAGCATAAACAGGAACAAGCACAGTCAATTGAGGTTTACACAAAAAGTGTCCGAAAATCGCCGCCCTTGAAATATTTTTAGAACCCCTGTCAAAAGTGATGCCAAAAGTTATAAAGATTAGGTGAGCTAATTAATATTCAAAGGGAGAGAAACAAAAGCGTTATTAAAATTAGACAAATCACTATTGAAGAAGGTAGTATTGAATACATCAAAGTCAGTTTGATTGTCAAAGAACACTTGAAGGAGTTTTTCATTATCGCCTTTAAACTGCTTTCCGTTTCTTCCAATAATGATAAAGAATTATAAATTCTTATTTTCTCCTTCCTTGTTCATGATTGCCTTAAATTGCATAGCTTTTCTCCTTTTTTTCTTCGTCTAAATAATAATTTGAGACCTCTAATGTGTTTACTTATTTACTTCATTTTTAAATAAGGATTCCAAAAACATGCATTAAGGGCTGTAATTACCGAACTCCCATTATAAAATATTAAAATGACTTAGACAATTCATACTATTTGTATTTATTTTTTATTTCGCATCTTTAATTCTGCCACAATTTTCTCATTGAGAAATTGTTTTGCATATTCAAGAATTTGTTACTCACAAATATGTACACACAAAATGTGCTTAATTATTTGGTAATATAAATTCAGATTAGGATTTGTCTAATCAGTTCCTAAATTACAAACCTAATTGAACTAAAACCCTAAATTATTTGTAATTCCAGTTAATAAATGTATTTATATTGCATTACATATTTGTATTTCTTAATTGAGCAACAATTTTTTTAGCAAAAATTTATTTATTTTGCTAATAATTGCAGTTAAAGAAATTAGTTATTTCAATCTGTTACAACATAAATAAAACATGATAAATAATTTTTAGTTGAATGGTTGTTTAAATAAGCACATATTGCCACTGCAAAATTTAAAAATTAAAATAAAATAAACAGTAACAGAACAGACCCCATCTAATTACTTACATAATTCATTGGTTTTAAACAATCATTATATTTGGATTTTATAATTTGTACTGATTTTAGAGATTAGAGATAATAACTTAACTTGTCCTTTCATTGACTGATTATAAATTAAGGAAAATATGAAAAATGAAAAGCTTCTTGGTAGAAATTACATTGTGTCGTTCCACAAAAGGAGTCAACGAGTCACGTGATGGGGTTGCTGGTTTCGGCGTATAATGAATGTTTCGTAAGCAGTCTACCTATAGTATAAGTCGATAATTGATCCATTTGGATGCTTTCTCTTTTCTTGGAGGTGTTGCTTTCTTGGAGGTGTTGCTTAACTTGGTTTTTCAAAGCTCTGCGGCCAAGGAAAATAAAAAAAACCTCAGTTTAAGTGCTTTACACTTAAATCAAAGAGATGATTTTAATCTATATTTATCATCTTGCTGTGAAGAATTATCTGAGCTTCAGAACAAACAAATAACTTAAATATTTCAAAAGTTATTAAAAAAAATTTAAAAATCAGCAATTTGGTGACATTTTTTTCACTAGATGAAAATTAACGTTATAACTGCCTTATCATCAATTTTTGCAAATTTTTATTAGCCCAGATAATGCATTGGAGCAAGTTTTTAAATATTAAAAGACGAGACCATAAACGCTTTTCATTCTCACAAAACTGTAGTATTTCTCTACATTGACGTTTTGCGCCATTTTCACAATAAGTATAGACAACGCTGGCATTAGATAGGCTTAACTCGACCTAGCAGTTTTGAATTTAGTGAAATAAAAATACAAGTTTAAAAATCCATGAACAGGAAATGATAAATGGGAAAACGCCCCAAACAGCGTAAAATGATAAGAGTTGCATTGCAATTCTCGTTCTTTATGATGCGTTGTACCTCCCCTCTGAATTTGGAGCCATTGCACTGAATCACCATATAGAATGTTCAATTTAGTGCATGTACTCTATATGGGTAAAACAAATGTATACCTGCTTGAATCGCATTGTGTAGGAGAGAAAGTTCCATCAGGATCACATTCTACTGTCTCCAAACCTATAACTTTGATTCCTTTTAATAAGAACTGATTGCGAAGTTTTCTCGCCCTGATTAATTCTTTTTCGCATGGTTTCAAGTAGGATACTATTGGCTTTTTCTTGTCATCTAAATAGCAAACATATAATCTTATTATTTACGAGAGCAGAGAAAGAAATTGAAAATAATAAAACTACATTAGCATAAAAACATTTGAATATTTGTGAAAATTAAAAAACTTTTATTTCTGGCATTCAATTTAACACTATTTCCACTATGATTTTGTGTATATCTAGTTCAACCAAAAAGTGTCTTACAACTCTTTGTGTTTGTTGTTGTAATGACACTTGGACAAACCTAGCTCGCTAGCCATTGACCTTTTGCGAATTAAGTCAGGAAGGGACGCTTTCAGTTTGAAAAGAGAGCACCACAAAGGTGGAAGTACGTCTTAGCTCAGAACTCCGCGTATAGTCCACAGCACCACTCATTCTCGAAACAATTTCTTCAATTCAGACATAGATCTGAAGGAAAAGAACATTTTTTTCAGATCTCTGTACCCATGGTACTGCTCAGAGACCCATCACAGGACGATTCCAAAGATTTTACAAGCACGTATATCGCACGTACTCGGTAGGTCTCAGCAGAGTCGAGGATCGAGCCCCGGCTCCTCCAGATCGGAGTCCGATTCTCTAACCACTGTGCTACCACGGCCCATAGCTTTGTGCTTAAAATTACTAATTAGAAATTGTCGATTTAAATTAGATAATTTGAGCGATATATTTATTTATAAGTAAATGCATATTGCTGTGCCGACTCTGTGCTTTTCAATTTTTAGAACTGGAATGATCAACACTAAAAAGAAACATGCCGAAACTCAAGCAAATATCAAAGTTATGAGTACTTAAAAGAATATCAAAATTATAACTCCCGTATTTTAAGTCAAAACTAAAGTCAGTACTTCTTAATAAAATTATAACATTTTACAACAAATTTGAACGTTTTTTCTGCCTTTCAGATGAATCTATTTGATCTTTAATTGTTATTGTGCTGTATTGTTAAAATTCGTAAAGTCGCCAATCTAAAATGTGGATTTTGGGGAAAACGATGCTTAGTAAAAAAGAATTACAGATAATGGTAAAATAATTACTGATTCGTTATTTTTAACCAAAAATGTACAAAAAACACATCTTTTCATCAAAAAAACATTTTTCATATTGAACAGTGTAATTCTTATTATGCCGCAAAATCGTAATGATATAAAATCGTTTGAATATAAACACTGTTATGAAACACTTTAAGGTGTTAAAAGACACCTTATGATTGAAATAACTGTCCACATGAATATTATATTTTTTTACCCTGGATGAGGTGGAGAAAAATATCACTGAATCAATTTACACATAATTATACTGCAGTGTAATAGAAAAATCAACGCAAATTGCAAAAAATTCAAAATTGAGATTTCTCTGAATAATTCAAAATTTGGCATTTTTGTGTGATAAGCTACTTATTGCAAAAAAATTAGTTTCTAAAATTAATTTTGTTTTATCAGTTTTTTGAAATTCTATTTTAACATTAATAGCATTAACAATAGAAAGAAAATAGTCGTCAAGCCACTTTTCTAAAAATCTACCGTGAAACTCTTACGTTGTTATTTATGCCACTTGCCAATACCAGCAAGCCTGATTGAAATTAAGCGAATTCTTAAGGCAGAAGCTGCGTTTCTTGTTTTTTCAGTCACGTCATCTATGGCCAAGAATACGACTTTAGCCACACACACGTATCAGCCCGTTTTACAGAGAGGACCCAATCATACTCAATTCATTATTCCTCTGATCGTAATTTTGACTTGAACCAGAGAACGATCAATCTCCAATTCAATGTCCCTAGAGGTATTTATTTGTTAGGGGAACTAGGAGTACTTTGGACCCCACAGATATAAAGTGCACCAGTCACCATTTAAAACAGAGGAGTCTTTGGCTGACGGGGATTCGAGATTGAAAGTTATAATTTTAATTAGCAATAAATTCAGAACGTACCAGTCAGAAATCGATTGAAACTTATATTAAATTCGGTATTATAAATTGCATGGTTGAGTTTCAATTTTAATTGGAGCACTCTAACAAATTGAAAAGTGGTTACAAGATTTGCACCTCACAAATAAGTAAACAGACAGATGTGAAAGCAAGTTCAGTTTAAAAAAATCTGTATATAATTTCCTATTTTGGTTCCCTCTACCTGTGATTAAATGTACTGGGAATACAGGGTGTTTCATAAATAAGACCACCCTTAGTATGTATTTTTAGAAACCTTATCAGAAATTAAAATAAAAAATGCACACATCGGGAATCTTAAATTAATACTTAAGCGTGGAAAAAACAAAAACGCTTTAAAAACCTGACAAATAAAGTTACATGAAGGTGGGAGTAATAAAAAACAAGAGAGCTAGTAATAAAAAACAAGATTGTGAGAATTTGAAGACAATTATTTGAAACACCTACGAGTTTCAATCCTTGCACTACTGTAATTAATCAGATTTCTATACCGCTTTGTTTTTCTCTCAACAAAATATTAATTCATGACCCCAATCTGTATATTCTTCCTTGTTTTCAATTTTGATATAGACTCTAAAAAATACATATTAAGTTGCAGTCTCTACAGAACATCCCGTGTATTGAAATCTTTCTATATGACGATATTATGTAACAATCATTTCGTACTTTACATTATATCTGTTCATTATTTTTCATCATCTTTTTACATTTGAGACTTTTACGTTACATATTTATTACATTATTTTTAACTTACAACATGGTAACTTGTCTAAATGATCCATCCGAACTATTCTTCCTTCAACTTCACCAGTTTCAGTATTTGCGCAGTAACAAAGGTTGTCGATGCATTGAATTTTTTCATAATCTCCTGTAACAGTGCAATGCTCTTGAGGTCCTGTCATAAAGGTATCTTTTTCCTTTATTTTCAGATTATGTATATGTTGTGAGCATTCTAGAAAATACATTAAACATATTGAATAAAACACCTATTATTTGGATTAAACTTTAAAAGTTTATAAAAGGGCTTTGAAAAATAGAGTAAAATAAAAGTGCTCTTTTCAATTCATAAAGGTGTCATTTGTCTTTATTTTCAGATTATATATATGTTGTGAGCATTCTGGAAAATATATTAAACATATTGAATAAAATACTTATTATTTGGATTAAACTTTAAAAGTTTATAAAAGGGCTTTGAAAAATAGAATAAAATAAAGGTGCCCTTTTCAATTCATAAAGGTGTCATTTGTCTTCATTTTCAGATTATGTATATGTTATGAGCACTCTAGAAAATATATTAAATATTTCAGATTAAGCACTTAAAATGTTTATTAAAGTTCTTTGAATAATAAAGTGATGGGATAAAAGGTGAAATATTTTCATAAAACTTATCATTAATATTGTTTCATGGTTGGTACTTAACAAATTTCCATTTAATAATAGCTATTGACACAGAAATATCTCATTCCTTTCATAGACATAGCAGTGTTTTTCCCCCGAAAACAAACTTAAAAATGGCTCACCCGATATTATAAAAGACGTTTCCATCAAATCTTTACATAAAACTAATCCTTAGTATTGTTCCTAAAAGGAATTTTAAAAATTTCCATTTAATAATAGCACATAACGCAGAAACATCTGATTTCTAACATAGATATTGTAGTGTTTTTTCCTGAAAACGAACTATAAAAAGCATTCTCCCGAGCGATTTGAAAATTTGGCTTATATTTTTATTGCCCTAAGTCTTTCACTTTTTAAATAACAAAACGAATTTTTTTTAAGAAATAAGTAAAATGACCTAAAAGAAGCGTTCAATATACTACATATAGATTTGATTACTGATAACAAAATGAAAATTATTCATCTCTAATTTTAAAAACATATACTTACTAGGAATAAGACTTCTTAATACAATATTATATTTTAGTATCCAGGGTGTTCCGTAATGACCACCCTTAATGTTTAGAATCCTTGTCTAAAATGAGGTTAAAAGAAAACACACAATACAGATCGTAGATTAACATTCAAGCGAGAAAAAATGCAATCAAAATCTGTCAAATTACTATAGAGGAAGACAGAAATAAGGACATCGAAATCTGTTTTATTGCTGTGTGCAACAGAGGGGATTTGAAAAGTTTTTACTATTAACTAAATCTAGTTTCAACTGGTTATAAAACCGGTCTTAATATATTTCATCCTGTTTTCCACACTAGTGATTTAATAGCATAACGTATATATTAAAGGCGGTGATTTTGAAACACCCAGTATAATGCTTACAAACAACTTATTTAATGAATTTCACACTTTTATTGTTCCTTTTTCCATTGTTTCTTTTTCTACTGTTTCTTCCTCTTCAAAAAAAATAACATTAATCCTTTCGAATAAAAAATTATTCTTTAAATATTCTAAGTTGTTTTATTATCTTATTAAAAATTATTCTAAATCAATCTACACTGCTATCCTTAAACTGAAAAATCAGGGTATGAGTAGTCTACTTTACATTGAAATAAATTCATAAAAGTGTAAATTCCCATTTATAAGCGATAGATGCAATCAGGATAATATGAACCCAATAGTTTAGTCACGGAAGCGATTGAAAGTTTGAGCCCTTAATGTTAATTTCCCTTTTAGCGTATTTCTTCACGCATAACTTAATTGATAGTTAATAAATTGATTAAGATTAGTACTTAGAACGTGAAAATCTGATCATTAAAACGAAAATTATTCATGATGATCTTTTTTTTTCTTCATACAAATCAAATCATGTATTAAAGAGAAAAAAAATTCAAGTATGTCATATCAAAAAGCTAAACAAAAATTTTCTTTTTCAAAAACCATGATGGTGTTCCCTGTTAAATGAATCAATTTCAAGCAGATACATGACATATTTTGCAAGCAGATACATGACTTATTATATGACTTACTACATGACATATTTTGAGACAACTCTGAGATTTCTTCTCCAAATAATTTTGTTCCATCATTGTTCATACAGATAGTTCTACAAGAAAATAATAAAACTGATATAGACGCATACACGTTATCTGAACCATTTTACATCTTTCAATTCACCTCCTTAGGAAATAAGTTTGAATAGCCACTATTATTAGAAGAAAAAAAACATCACTAATTTTTTAAAAAAAGAAACAGTCATTTTCGAATTAGAAAAACAATCAAATTGATTCCGAATTAAGTCATTACTAGCTGTGATGCCATTACAGAAACAGTTTTAAAAATCTAAAGTAAGTTGACAGGAATTATTTTTCGTTCCCTAAATAATAAGTTTCAATACCACTATAATCATTAGGGAAAAAAATTATACAAATTTTTTCAGAAAAATAATCATTGCGAATTAGAAAAATATTCATTGTGAATTGATATCTAATTAAGTCATTACAGTCCATGCTCTCGTTTTAGTGACGTTGCAAAATAAGCTGACAGGAAATATTTTTCTTTCCTAAGGTAATGAGTTTGTAAAACCATCAATCGTTATTAGAAAGAACAGGGGAATAATTTTTTCTTTTCCGTTACATGAGATTTTTTAATGGATCTTGGATATTACTGGTTTTAAATCTGGTCTACTACTACTGATCTACAGATTTCAAATTGATTTCTCTTTCCAAACTACAGTTTGTTAGTTTATTTTTTTTTAAATGACAATTTCGTCGAAATGTACAAGTATGAAAACTTTATGTACAAAAAGGAATCGCCTAAGGCTGCAAAAAGCTTTTAGGAGAGTTAGAGCACATCATCGGGATTAAAATTGCATAGGAATCATGTACGGAATTGTCGTCGTATGCCGCTAAAGACGCTTCCATATTATGAACTGTTTCTTCGTATGCTTCTGAGCAGGTCAAAATAAGGGAAACACCCCTAGCCCCGTAAGACAACATTTCCGAGTTCCTATGCAGTTTTAATCCTGATAATGTGCCCTAATACCACTAGAAATTTGTCGCAACAATCACGCGACCCCCTCTTATATATAACGTTTCTAAACGTGTACCTTTCAACAAAAAATAGACTAAAAATGTCCTTTTTAAAAAATCTGCAGCTTTGGGAGCAAAACTAATTTTAGTTTTGAAAATTTGTATGAATGCAACAAAAAATTTGTTCCCTAAAATAATTATTGCTAACTTTTTGCAGAAAAACAATCATTGCAAGTTAGAAAATATTCACCGCGATTTGATTGCTAATTAAGTTATAGCTGCCTATGGTTATTATTTTAGGGACGATTTTAAAAATATAAAATAAGCTAATAAATAGTTTTTTAATAATGGTAAATAGTTTTTTGATATAAACTTAACATACTTTTAAATGTTAATTACTTTTAACTTTTATCAATGACAACAAATTGCAAACTTTCGGATAATAAAAAGTAGCATATCCTTATGCTCAAGTCAAAATTGAAAATAGTGTTTCTTTTTTTTGCAATATCGGTTATAAAATTGTTCGTTTGTTTATCTTTTTAATAATTATGTAATTGTATTCAGCAAAATTTTTTGTACTTATTATAAGAATGCATTTATCTTAAAAATTAAAAGGTTAATGGTTCTAGAATTAAGTTCGATTAGTGCTAGAAACTATACCTGAAGCAAAATAATAAGGGGATAGGAAAAAGTGGAAACTTACGAAAAAAGAGAAAGGGGCACACTTAGGTCATAAAGTATTGTTAGTGTATATAATCATTCTTGTCAAATTAAAGATAGATATTTACTTTTTTGCTTTCATCTGTCTCAATTTATAATTACCGTTATCTTCGCAATCAGGGATCCACAAATTGTCTGTATATTCGTCTTGTTCATTTGATAAAAGTTCTTGTCTAATACTTTTACTTTTCCGACATGCAGTTTGAGCATAATCTAAAAAATAAGCGAGTAGTAATAAGTCGGATTTTATTAAAGCTAAACCATTTTTCGAATAGAAAAACTAAGGCAAAATATAACAGGAAATATGTAGGAAATAAGTATAAAAAATAAATCATTTTTCCTTTAAGTATAAAATTTTGAATAAGTATTCTTTTATTAGAAAAATAATTGCCTAGAAAAAAATATTTGGATCGGGCTGAAGCCCGAAACAAAGGAAGCATACATAAATTTACTAAGGAAGCATACATAAATATAAAGAATTTTCTCAGAAAAAAAATTAGAATAAAAATTAGAAAATTGATATTACATGATATTTTTTACAAAGACATTAAACTAAAATGAAATATCATATAATAAAAAAGCAATATTAGAAAAATTTAGAAATTCTAAAACGGTAAAAATGAGGAAAAAAACTTTTTTTTATCACGAATCTCATACAGAAATGACCTCATTTTATATGTAGATTAATTAAAATTTAGTGAGTATTACTATTGATAGTTTTATGTAAGGAAAGTGCTGAAATCGTTTTCATGTTTACCTGAAGCTTTTTTTCTAAAAATAGTCATTTAAATGTAGATTCTTAAAAGCAAAGCCAGAAAATATATTTGTTTTCTGTTTTCTTTCACATCCCGATGAAAATTAGAATTTCTGTATTCAGGAAAAACATAATAGTTGAAAAGAAGTTTTAAAGTTACTTTTAACTCCATCAAACAATAATTAATAAAAAATCCGTGGCCTCTTAGAGAAATATTTTTCTCTGAGAAGAGCTACCGTTGACTAATCAGAATTACTCGACTAAGGTAATTTAACAACGCTCTTCGGATTTGAAAATGTTCGAAAAACACCAAAACTCTCGTATTATACAATACACTTTTGTTAAAAAGACAAAAACTGGTAGCTTAATAATTTCCTTTTTTAAATTTTTTTCGGCTGAACATCAAATCTATTAATGATATAGGTAGCTATATTTTCATCTAAAATTATGTATTTTAAGTAAAGTGGCAATAACATTAGAAGTTCATTTATATTAAACGTTAATTGCCTACCAGTTTTTTTTTTTTCAAAATGATACTTTTAATATCACTAAAATGTAAAAACACAACATTAACAAATTAAATTTCAGCTTTTTTCTTATCTGTCAGTCCATTACAACCTGAACATGTAATCTGAAATTTGACAAATAAAAATCCTGCCTTTGCATTGTTTTATTATATTGCCTTGGGCCGTGGTAGCCCAGTTGTTAGAGAATCGGACTCCACACGGAAAGGCCGGGATCCGATCCTCGACTCCGCTAAGATTCATCGAGTAGATGTGATATACATGCTCATAATGACCATGGTATCTAAAAAGTCCTGCGGTCAGTGTCTGATCAGTACCATGGGTACAAAGATCTAGTAAAAATTTTCTTCCCCTTCAAATTTAGGTCTAAATTAAGGAGGTGGCCTCAAGAATGAGTGGTACTGCCATCTATCCATGGGGTTCTGAGCTAAGACGCACTTTCATCCTTGTGGTGCTCTCTTGCCAAACGAAAAGCGCACCTTCCAGACTCACTTCGCAAAAGGCCAATGGCTTGCGAGCATGGCCTGCCCAAGTGTCATTAGAAACAACGAAAACTACAACATGATATTGTCTAATAATTTAAAAAATGGTTTACCTGTTTTATTAACGCATCCATCGCAACATCCGTTATACCCGACTTTCATCTTGACGAGGCCATGAGGACATTCTGTCACCATGAGTGGTTCGCATTCAACATTTTCACAAACATTCTGTTCTAAATCAATGCCCATGATACATTCCAAAAGTAAAAATAACGAAATCCATTTTGCAGAATCACAACCTAGATACAACATGTTCATAACTAGCTACTTTTAAAAATGAAACTATTGGTGATAATCCGAATATCATTTTTGACGCATTTGAAAAAACATAAAAATAAATGTTTAGCAAACACTTTTCCAACTGAAAACGAAAGCGAAGAAAATTAAAAACTGATATCATTATCTTATCAATAAATAAATGACATGGTTGTAAGGGTAGAATATTTTTTATTCTTTATCGATCATTGTGTCTTTTTTTTGCCTAATAAATTCATTGTATTAAAAATTTAGAAAAATATTTGGCTAAAGAAATCATACTTACAAACCCTTGTTTCAAATGAAGCCTTTTGATGTTTCTCCTGAGCTTCTTTCTTTTTTTTTCTTTTTTTTTTTTCTTTTTTTCTACGGCTTTTTCTTAACTACCTTTTTGAATGCAATTATCGAAATTATTAAATTATTAAATTATCGAAAATGAATGATTAGTGACTTAAGAAAAAAATCTTAACAAAAAAGAAGAATTGTAAAAATACATATAAATAAAATAAATAAATAAATTTTTTAAAAAAGTTACTTTCGACAGAAACAGACACCAAAAATACATTTGTGTATTAGATTGTCGTTTGTAATTAAAAAATACCAAAATATATTTTTGCTTGTATTTCAAGCGTCTGGACAAAAGATATACAAAAAGGTCAAAGGGTTAAGAAGCAAGTTAATTAATTCTAACAAAGTTTGCAGATTATTTGTATTGTTCATCAATTGATTTCTTGGGGTAAAAATAATGTTTGATTGTTTTGAATTTATGTCGAATGTGTGCAAAGTTATTGTTCACAAACAAAAGAGCGAAAAGAGCGAGTTTTTATTTCTTTTATTATCATAAAAAGAAATACACTTTTGAAAATGCTTTTTTCTTGACCACAGTATTAGTTCTTACTTTACAAAATTTAAAGGAAAAAAAATGTGTCACTAAATATCTAGAATTTTATTAGCTGTTTCATTTTGTCTTCTTAGTCTGCAGGTAAAGAGGTTTATTCTCAAGTTTATTTTCATGTCCGATGATTTCAAATAATTTTAATTACTGAAATGAAATTCCGAATAACATTTTAAAGCAGTCAAATTAATTTGCTATTCGTTTTTCAGTAAATACAGATGCGTAGAAATTAGTATTTTGAAAATAATGCCTTTTAAATATTTCAGATACAACTAAATTACTATGTAAATTGCTTTTCCTCTTTTTTAACTGCAATTAAACTAACTGTTAATTGAAAATAATTTTAATGCAAATAATTGTGAAAATTATGCAAATATAATCTGTAACCCTGCTTACCTAATATATAATTTTAAAATTATTTTTGTGTAAAAATCAAGCATTTTAATGTTGCCCCAGGTTTTTTTCCTCTTTGTTAACAAAATTATTGTACTAAATTGTTTCCATTGAGTTGGCAAAAATTGGTCCCACATCTCCCTGGAAATCGATGCCCAATTTAAAAATTGGCGCTATATTTGCTGTATTCTGAAAAGATAAAGCATTAACAAGATGCGGATGTTTTATTTACAGTTGCTTCTGTTAACCAGCGTAATTGATTGATATGTATCGTTTTAATGATCATTTGATATTTTATTATGTGTTGTATAGACTTAAGATTCAGATGTATAGCTTTCAAATTATGCTTTTCAGTTTTGTAGAATTTTTTTTTCTTTTTAATAGAACCTGTCCCAATAAATTGACTTACAGTTTTTCCCTTCTGTTAACATGCTCAAAAAAACATGGTAGTATAGTAAATATTTTTATCTTTAATAAAAATAATAATAATACCTATAGAAAAATAATTAACACTACATGTAAATGTTAAAAATGCACCCATATATATATATATCTATATCTATATATATATATAATATATATATATATA